TGTTGTGATGGTGTCCCGGTCGTGTTTTGATGGTGTCCCGGTCATGCTTTGATGGTGTCCCGGTCATGTTGTGATGGTGTCCCGGTCATGTTTTGATGGTGTCCCGGTCATGTGATGGTGTCCCGGTCATGTTGTGATGGTGTCCCGGTCATGTTTTGATGGTGTCCCGGTCATGTTGTGACAGTGTCCCGGTCATGTTGTGATGGTGTCCCCGTCATGTCATGCTGGTGTCCCGGTCACCTTGTGATGGTGTCCCGGTTATGTGATGATGGTGTCCAAGGAAGAGATGGTCGATGTGTTGAAAACAGCAGCTGTTTCCAGATTTTTCTTTTTGTCCCGGTTTGTATCTTGCTTCTGGGGTCTCCAGCTGGGCTAATTTGTCTTAAGTAGCTGTGACGGTATCATTCCATTGTTCCAATACGTCAATAGCCATTCTGATCCATTCTGTTTCCAAAATGAAGTCCGATGTCTCAATTCCGACTTCCGAATGATCCAAATGCTTGTTCCAATAGGGGCACTTCCAGAACTCGACCCCTAAGCCCCAAAGGACAGACATCAAAATCAACTTCCCAGTCAACGGGCGGCGGCTTCCGCTCGTGTTCCACCAAACGGGTCGCGGGTCCTTGCATTCAATCGCCGGGAGAGTCCCAAGGGCTCCCGCCACTGACTGGCACGGCGTGTTGTACGAGGTGAAAAAACGAGGGACGAGAAAGGACCGCCGGTGGTTAGCGGGAGACGTTCCTTGGTTGACAGCGGTTTTGGAAGTGAAGTCCGAGAAGAACCTCGCAAGGACGCCTTTCAGAAGCGGGCAAGTCTTTTGCAATCAAGACACATTGAATCATCCTGTATTCTCCCTTTGCCATCAGGTTATCGGAATCCTAACCCTGTGAGGCAAATTGCAGCACGACTCAAGAAGAGGACCTGGCAACATACTAGAACAAGTCTTCGATGACTTTGATGTGTTGCCAATGGCCATCAAGAATGGTACTTGTAAAATCTTATAAACCTACTCTTGAAGGAAAAATCTGGAAACCCCCTTGAGATGGACAATGTCAATGTCAATCTCCGACCATCACACAATTGGACTTTGGATTTCTCCCCTCTAACAGTATGTAATTATTTCAGCTCACTCGAAAGCGAAAAGGTGCCATGCCTCGCAAAATAGGCCGTGAGGTTGCCATCCGGGCGCGTATGGTGGCGAAGCCAATCATGGAACTGCCGAGAGTTGCCGACCGTGGCATCGCATCATATCGCATCATATTCATAGGGATGAAAAGGGAGACCCCCCGGCCCCGGGCCCCAGCCGAATGAGGTTTATTTATATAGGCGATTCGTCCTTTGATGGAGTCCCTATTCCCACAACGACATTAACGATGGACCGGAACGGAAACAAAACTAATTACCACCCACATGCAAGGCCCACTTCCCACTGCCAACCACCCAGTTCATCTCGATGTACCACATGAAACTACCCAGATAGTGGCCTGCCAGAACAACACACGTTGGTCGAGGTTTCCCAGTAGCCACCCTTGGGGATGCCATCAGTATCATGCTGTCTGCTACCAGGTTGGTCGTTGCTTAAAACTTTTTCAAAACACAAAGCATCCTACAACATCCTCCTGTCACAACTTCACTTTTACTGAGAGATCTAGAGCTAGCTGGCCTGTGCTGCAGAGAGAAGTAGAAAGACCTGGGCAGCAGCTCATGACGTAGTGATTGGCTTCTGGCTTTAACTGTGTACATACAGCTGCCGGCCACACATTATGTAGCCTGTACTATGATTCCGATAAATTTGCATGTTTCCCACAGTCTGAGGGAAAATGTGGTCAGCGTAAATGCCTGAGCACAAAGCAGTTCGTGTTAAGTGATGCGGACATATTGTGAACATTTGTAAACCATTCCTGACGTGTAATTACCCTGTACACGTGGAACCCTAAGAAAGCAACCAAACAACTACAAGGGATTTTGTGTCTGTTGTCTGTTGTGCTTGCTTTTTGTGTTTCTCTTTTTTTCCTGTGCGAATTGCACCGTTTTGCCGCTTGGCGCTCATCTGGGATTCCAGGCACCTCCAGGCGCTGTGGCGTTGAGGTTCACCGACAGCTTCGCGCCAGGGGTGAAGCCCACATCTGCCCTCAGTGAATACGGAGGGCGCGTAGACAAGCGCGTCGACCCGCGCGTGGACACATCTTCAATTTGTGCAGTCCATATGAAGTTATCTCAAATATGGGTCAAGTCATCTTCAATAGTCTTGCAAACGAAGTTGCAAAAGAAGGAGGAACGGTGCATCGGCCTTTGTGAGAGGTACCTCGACCTGCATGGCGCTGAGGCTGCTGAGGTTCTCGCAACGTGTTACTCACTGTTTTTGCCCAACAAAAAGAGCCTCTGCCTCTCACACTGAGTTCCGAAGTGAAAGCTGGGAGTAGAACAAAGATGCATGCTGGCACGCCAACCGAAAACAGAATGCCCATTCTCTCCTCACAGATTCGGCCTTGAGACCTGCGCAGCAGATCAAACAAAGGCAGGTCAACCAGCAGGTCCTCACGTGTCAGCACCGGACCAAGATTCCTCAAGTCATCAATGAATCAGTAGAGCATCCGGACATGCAACTGACTTGAGGCAATTGCCTTGACAAAGAAACCAACAAGTCAACAGAGACAGAATCCAACAAATGCGCAAAAGCAAACGAGGTGGGCCAGCTTCATGTAGTAGAGTGGAGAATGTCCAAGAACCCGTGGTGGATTGATGTGGGTTGAATGTCTAAGAAAGATAAGGGGCCAGCTTCGTCTGAGTAGCCGTTTCCTTCCGAGCCGTGTCCTCGAAATCACCATTGCATTCCACCGCCATTGAAGGTTGTCTTGGATGTCCACCCCAATGGGGAGCGGGTGAGGTTTGCTTCAACACACAGTGTCGCTGCAGTGAGCAAATATTTGGTCAACACATGCCTGGTGAACTCTTGGAAGCTGTAGATGTGTTACAGTAAAACTTCTCAACTTTCGCTGACTGTGTGGAAAGGAGTGTGATGTCAGGGATATACCAAAACGATCCACAGATCTCCAGCTTCTAGGGTGTCTGACTGGCTGACAGTCTAGGTATGACAAGTGATGCAACCCTGTAGCTCTGCGGACTTCATGTCAAATCTGGGTTGACGTGCTTTGATATATGGGAACAGAAGGCACATTCAGTAGCTTCACTTCAATGCTGTTCAGGTTTGAGCACATGAGCATTGGCTTTGACACGCAAAGAGGCCGACATGCAACCACCCTACAGCTGCCCAGAAGCTACAGTATGCAAGCATGATATGAAGGATTATGTCTATACATATAATATGACAAAGTTCAGCGAAACCATGCAGAATGCAAACATGTCTGACACATGCCAAAAGGGTGAGCTCACATAAGAGACATAGTGTGAAGCGTTGAACCTAGCGAACATGTATACATATATTTGCTGTGATTATATATACATACATGTAATAGCATATATATATATATATGTGTTCTTGCAACACGACGAAATCCAGAGCTTGGCCATCCAACTCCAGCAATCTATCTTTTCCGAAGGTGATCCGATGGGGCACCGCTGGTGTGCTTGCGTGGCCTGATGCCTCAAGAAAAAGAACCACGTTCTTCTGTTTCTGAAACCCAGGCATACAATTGCAAATGTATATACCTTTTGTTGCTAAAAGAGTAAGGCGGCAACCTTCTGATTATATAATATTATATAGATCTTAAAAGCATTAAACCTCCGCACACGGCTCTCAGCTACTCAGGACACGGCTCTCTGAACCATTTCTCGAAGAGCCGTTGATGGCCTGGTATGGGATTCGTCACCGGAGTCGTCACCATCGACTGCTTCGCACCTGGACTGCCTGCTTCCACTAGGAAAGCCCTGTTTTTTGTCGTTTAAACGACGAACAACGGCGCCACGAGTGTTTCAGTTCACCCAAAAAGCTGGTTCAAACGTGTTCAATCAAGCTAGCTTTGCCAAGCTTCTTGATTCCAGCATCTTTAAAGAACTGCCGGTCAACTTCACCATCCTGGAAGGAAGCGGAAGCTGGTGTGCTGTCATGAGCGTTGAAATGGGCTTGTGCGGATTTGTGCGGAGCTATACATGTGGTGTTCATTGGTGTTCTATGTATGTCAAAACCTCTTTTACGTTCCTCTCTTGTGAACGTGGATTTCTAGCTATCAGAAGCTCTCACATCAGCCTAGTTCCTAGGAATGTCTCATTTAGAATTGCTGGACGCTGCCAGGCTTCGCTGAGTGAGCTCAAGGAGTTCTGATAAAAAGAAAAACAGAAGTCAGAAGAAAATAAAGATCACATTTCCATCACATGAGAGTCCATGCTACGAGTTACGTGGTTTCTCCTGAGACCTGGGCCCGTCACTCCCGCCTTGGCGTAAACATCTATGATCTGAACCACACTATCGAGTTTGGTGGCGAGGTTCTCATGGTACTGAACCTGAAACCAAGAGCAAGGAGACTTTGCAACTATATACGTGACGAGCTCTTCAACACTCTTCAACTTCCACTCAAAAAACGGCAATGGTCAAGAAACAAAGTTCAAATCTAGGCTGACTCTATTCTTGCTCCTTGTCAAGAATGTTGCTCTTGGCGCCAATAATTTGAAATGGTGAGGAAGAGCGAGCAGCGCAGGGACTACTTTCTCTAAGGTCATGACCAGGAATCCGTCATCATCGAGGCTTTCAAGCCAGCCCTGCGTAGAATTCTGTACATCTGCCGCAGTCGTGTATGGAGTTAGGGATGTATTATTCATACCCTATAGAATTCAGAATAGAATCCTAGAAGAGCACGTCGTGCCAAATGGTGTTGATTGACCTGTCACATTCCAAACTTCGATACACAGGAACTGCCAACAAGTGTGAAACGTGATAGCTTTGCACTCAACTCTTCGCAATAAATGCTACTGCATTCTGAAAAGTGGTGCTTTGGTACAGTAGATCTAAGCTTCTTGATCTTCCTGAGGAATTTCCAAGGAGAAACAAATATAAATACAAATAAGAATCTTGGAACATAATCAACAACAAACTGGTGCTTAGTAGGGAATGAGTCAATATGCTAATAATACCCCAGTAAATATTTCCTTGGATCCAGCCACCCTCATTCCCTACTTTCGTCGCACCCGTCACGAGTTGCTCGTCGGCAAAATTCCTTGACGCCCCGCTCCGACAGGTCATTTGCACCAACCAAATCTACATTCCACATCCAACTGCAGCCATACGGCCAACATGCTGGGCACCAGAAATCCAAATTTGTAGACTGTAAGAATAGGGAGACCCCCATCCGGACACTGTGGTAGGGAACAACCCCTTGCTCCAGAAAGAGTCCCTATTCAAACATGACCCCAAGTGTGCGAGACCATCTTTTGGCGCAAAACAACCACCACACATAGCCAGACTCATGTGACATGCCCCTCCTTGATGGAGGTTTCGAAAACGCCAACTCCTCCTTTCCATCTGGGTGGGAAAATCAGAGATCGGGGCCGCCCACAGGGCCGATGGGCTGTATCTGAATCTGCAAATAAATGGATGTGGCGCGACCCAGGGAACCACTGGCTTTAAGGCCTGTTTCTGTAGGTTTGGATCAATGAGATGTAATACTAGGTAATATATAGTTGTCTTTGAGCCAGCGTCTATGTCCAAAAAACAGCTCCTAAATCCCAGAATCCAAATATGATGAAACTGTTTGGTCTACTAGGTTGAGGAGGTTGGGAGCTCCGTGCCTTCTTGATGTGACCATCTATATAGTCAGATCCAAAACTCTAACGGCTTGCACAAACCTGAGAAAGGAGAGGACGAAAGCCAGCGAGAGACCAATATGGTAGTGCAAGAGTGGGAGGAAAAAAGCGGAGGACTTATTGTTGAATGCCTGTAGCTTTCGTAGAGCTTGTATCAACGTGGAGTAGATCAAGATCGGAACACAGCATGAAGTGTTGAATGTTTTAGGTTTTCTCGATTTTCCTGGCGCGGCGCCTTCTGGAGCGTCCCTTGTTGGTGTTCTATTTGAGAATCCGTGCAAAAATAAACGTCAGTGAACACCAGGAGAATGATGCCCGAAGTGGCTTTTGTGGTTGTGTTGAAATGTGTTTCGGGTATCGTGCATCAATGCGAAGCCCTACAGAGAGCAGGGCTGGGAGGAAAAAATCGCAGAGCACCTATAGTTGAAAGCTGGATAAAGCTGGTAGTTTCGTGCAGCTGGTATCACTGTGACTGAGATCAAGATCGGAGCACAGCATGAAGTGTTGAACGCGTGCAGCTTTCTTGCTTCTCCGCTCTTATCCCCAAGCCTCTACCTCGCCCAACTGGACATACTCACATCGTTCGCCCCCAGAGCGTTCACTCTTTGTTGCTTGGTCCTTCTTGGTATGATCAGAGCTACACAGTCCCTATGCTCTGCTCAGGACTAGAAAAATTGTCTCCAGACCCCTTCATGATGCTAATGATGCACTACTCGGCGTCCATTGCATCACTCGTATCACCAGACCCCATGTTCACTGCTTTTCTGACTCTCGCTTTGGAGCGCTCTCCCCCACCAAGCTCCGGGTTCACCCTCTCAAAAATGCGCCTTTCCGCGCCCTCCCCCCCCATCCACCCGCTTAACTCCACTTCGTTCGCTCTAAGAGCTCAAGCCTAGCCTATCGGCTGGCTTTCGTAATATGTTTTAAAATATGTGCAATCATGTACATATATGCACATGTTTTGACATTTATTATTATTAGATATTAGTTATTATGTGTTCATCCTGGAGAAGAGAGAGTATGATCCCAAACCAGGACACTGGTCGTGTTTTGGGATTGGTTCATCTTCCTGTGTGGAACTTTGATGAAAAAACATCATCTCCCAGGCTTGGCTCCACCAATCGGCTTGTCCTCCCCGCTCTTTTTCCTGACCTGGAAGAGGCGTTTGAGCACTACATACTGGGTCTCACATGGCCCAGTTGAAGCCACCAATGAAGACACGAAAGGACGTGTCAATCTGTTTCGCGACGGACATGCGGTCCTAGGATTGATCTTCGATGATCGTCAATCTGTTGGTGCCCGTGGGCTTTTCGGTGTCGCTCCACGGATGGAGAGCTTGAAATTCTGATTGTCGGAGATCACATTGATGATACAACATGGTGATACTCTCTCCCTCTCTCTCTATTATCATCTATGTCCGAAAGCATGTCGGGGAAGGTGGTTCTATCGACGCACTCTGGATCCATGGCCACAACGAACTTCCCAAACCCGGGCTACCTGGAGCTTCTGGGTCTAGCAGGTCTGCGTGACACGCCAGTGCCTGCCCACTCTGAGTTCCCTTGCTACCAGCAGCAATCCTCCGCTTTCCAACTTTCAGTCATGAACCTGTTATTTAGTCACTTGAGATAAAATGTGCAGTTCTCTTTTGACTTGTGGCTTGCCAACCGTCGTCAGTGTCGTGAGTTCTTCTGCCACTCCGCGCCTCACACGCTGTGCATCATGCGCTGTGCGTCACACGCTGTGCGTCACACCAGCTTCAGGACGAGCCTGGGTTCTATCTTCATCCACTGGGATGGCAGGAACAGCTTCTTGGCCTCCAATCATGTGCGATTGACAATGTGCCACACCTCAAAGCTCCTTCTTGGAAGGAAGGAGAGGTTCTGAATGCAGAGTACAAGCTATGGAAGCTGATGACAATCCTTGGGAGCCTCAGAAGACCAGGCTGTTTGAAAGCGGACGATGTGCAAAGCTGCGCCTCGAAAAGGCCTACACGGACGATGCGCAGAAGCGTCTTTCAGCCATTGGGGCAGGGCAGCTCCGACTCCCAACGACCACAGCAGCTCCTCCGCGTCGCGCTCCGACATGGCGATGGCCGCATCAGCCACCAAAGAAACACGGCGCGGAAACGCAAAAGACACACGTTGCAGCGGAAGATGCGAAGCCCACTGTGGATGGCTTCTATTCTATATATAGGAGCTCTCAAGTTCGTCGAAAGCAAGACTGTCATTTAAGGCCAAATTGAATCGCACACCATGGCTGGGACAGCTGTTGAAGGCTGGAGGCTGTTGACGTTGACATTTCCGTGACAGCAAGTTCACACGTTACTAGATGCCAGCCGAAATCCTGAATAGCATTATGAATTGTACACTATGGATATGCCCATTCAAACTCCAAACCCCAATTTGTTGATTTCTCTTGGATCACCTCTCCCTCAATTGCCGGTGTCTGAAGTTGACACCGTCCTGGAAGCCTGTAGAATAGTTTCCACTTCCAGAAGTTTGAGGCTGAAACAACTTGCCCACATGTATTTGCCATCATTGCAGCGTACAATTGCAGTGTCCACTCTGAGATATAGTTATAGATTTACAGTATTGTTTTTTTGAGTGTGTGTGCTCCAGAAATGACATGAAACACCTCGACCCAATGCAATCCAGAATTCAAACAGAGTGTGCGCTGAAGTTACACTTTCCAGGGCAACATGGTTACAATAAACAAGAATGCAGGCTCAAAGCTCATCTGCAAAAGCCAATCACACGAGATCCACTAGCTTTAGCACAAACACGGCGGCTGGGCAATTGTTCCCTCTTGAACAGGCTGTTTGGGCTGACTTTTTCACAAATCCGGCGGGATCCGGAGGGAAGAGGCACGTGGCTGCGGCTTCTGGCTTCCAAATTGTTAGCCAGTGCTTTGTCCGCTTGCACGCATCTTCCGCTTCAATAAAGCTTCTCGCTGGTGTGCACGCGGGCGGTAGCGTTTGCGAGGCTTGTAGTGTGGGCCTTTGGGATCTGGAACCCGTTGCCACTGCCCGTCCACAATTGCGTAGGCCCGATGATTGTGCCTGAAGAAACGGCGACGCAAGTCTGACCACCAGCGTTCAGCAAAGGCCTCTTCTATCTCAGTTCTTTCAGGTGATGTGGGATCCATCAGCACACCATCTTCCGCACTCACGGAGTAGGCTGAATCTGGAACCACCCGCTCAAATTGCAGGCTGAATCTCTTGCCTTGCTTTTCATCATCACTTTCTTGCTCTTCATCATTGTAGTAGTCCGGAAAGCCCTCCTCTTTGTCCTTACAACTTCTAGAATTGAACCGTGCTTGCTTGAGTCAACTTAAGACTGAGGAATCTGGTGCGAATACCATCTTTTACACCGCTGACCATGGCCAACCCCATATCAAACCAAAATTCCGCAAGGAAACCAGTAGTCTGTCTGAAAATACATGAAAAAATACCAAAGGCTCTGAGTCCGAGTCTGATATCTCTGCCTCGGCCATGACTCGCCGCACGCCCCGCATCGGTGCCCGTGGCACATCTCCAGAAACCTGCCAACCAGCGCCGGAGTGCTCGGCCTCGCACGCTGGAACACGCCGTGGAGGCAAAGAAAACATGCAAAGTAGAACACACTCTGCCTGCTTGGCTCGCAAGGCCCCCATCCACCCAGGTTCCCAACTTCATTTGATGCACTTTAATGGCTTGCCCGCATCGCACCGTTTTTGCGCGAATCGCCAAGAGCGTTGCTGCAGCTGTCCTAGCAATTCTCAGGTTGGCCCACACCGCTGAATTACAAATTGTTATGACAAGGTGATGCCGTGATTCTGATGATTTGGAGTGTTGTGAGACAAAGCAATAGACTTGTATGCAAATGATGTGAAACCAACAACATCTGTGCAATAATTACCTGCATTTCGTTCAATGAAGTGTCATATGATGGAGGTACAACCGAAGTTGTACCTGCGCTGAGGTTGTGTTCTACAACATGAACGAAGTCGGCAAGAAAAACTGAACAAACATGTCTCAGATCCGTTCCAATATTTTGACAAGGGTACATTAAGACTCAAGGTATACACTCCCTGAAACAATCATGGAAGTGGACAATGGCCCCTTGGATGACCAGTTCCCTCTACAAACAGGTGGTTTTCCACTTCCACGTTGGTGACTCGAAGTGCAGTATATAGTATAGATGTTTGTCCAAGGACCAGAGCAACAAGGTCCCTCTTGTAGACGAACATTGGGAAACCATTATATAACCATCTTTGGTGGTTCCTTGGGTGGCTCTGGGTGGAGGACTTCTTGTGTCATGAATGCGTGTTTGTTTTTACATTATATATATATATACACACACACGCACACACAATTATATATACGTTACATACATATTGTGATACATGTGTGTGTGATTGGGTGTGTGTGTTTGCTGGTTCATGCGTGAAACTTGACAATCTCAGTGACATCTTTGATGACAAAGTCCTCTGGGTCATCAGGAATCACTGCAACTTCTCGGAAAGCTGCGGTAGGCGCCTGCGGAACTCTCTGACACAGACGCCAGCCGCTTTGCGGTTTGGAAACCCATGCCTTCCGGTCCACGGGAGAAATGTCCACCACGTGAAACCTGGCAACTCGAAGAGCCCAAACATAATTAAAAGAAGTTGAAGTTGAATGGTGACCTAGAAAGGTTGAAAGGTTGAAGACATGGTGAGGAGAAAAGAAGTTTTTCAACACCTGCCAGCACCACGGAACCATGCGGAAATGGGAGGCCATTGCTGAGAAGGAGCTCTTGAAAGAACCGAGCACCTGCACATGAATAGATGCCATCATTATTTGGAAGGTGCACACCAGTTGCAGTAGCTCCTGCTTGACAACTGAAATAGCTTTACAGGGGGAACATCAGGGAACTACCTCAAGCTTTGGATGGATGCAGCAAAACGACCAAGGTACATGAGCATCGTGTTTGAGCATCGTCCGCCTCAGCTCCCTGTGACAGGAGAAGCAGATCGATCAAAGCATCTTGAATTCCTGCGAAAAAGCCCGGAGGTGACAAGGCTTCCAAAGCGGGGAGGGGCACCGTCAGCTGAAGCATTTTTCAATGTTCTGCCTTTCAACACTTGCAGTTGCAACAGTCACCCACTGGCATCGTGTATCTGTATGCTGTATGAGCAAATCATTTGCTAGTTGGCTTCCTAGCAAGGGCAAGGAAATACTGGAATTCTGCAGGCTTGTTTTTGTCAGCACTGCGAGCGCGAGCACAATATCAACTGACGGAAGGTAGCAAATGCAAAAATACTCATTGCATCAATTCGTGTGGGGCTTAAGCATCTTTTTTCACCACCTTCCCCTTCAATTCGCTGCGGCTCCAGCGGCGCAGTTTCGGTTGAGAGTCCGTTTTGATGAAGTCAAAAGCCGAGGCCCAAAATCTCAGGTTTCGCAGCGATCGGTTTTCATCAGGTTTGAAACAGCAACCATTGATTGATTGGAACATCACCCTCGTCCGCCACATCAGGGCCCCCACAAGACTTCATCCGCTCTTCCACATTGGGATCATCCGTCGCCAAGAAGAACATCACATCCTGGTCTGCAGTGTTCATTCTGAAACAACACTCATTCAATGGATCTGTTTCTCTAGCTGCATTCACCGCCTCTCCATAGCTCTCCATTGTGCGCAGGAACAGCTCCTGTCCGCTGACAAAAATAAACAAACAATGGACGGGTTTGGCTGCTGCAGCATGCTAGAGCAAGACCTGGATGCGACGTCACTGCGCTTCTGGCGCTTCATATTGCTTCCCTGGTCAGAACGGGTTTGTACCCTAACCTTGTTGGGCGTACATGCCTGTAAAGTGGAAAGTTCATGGTGCGTAGGTTGTGAGAACTTACATCTACCCCCCACAGCTCAGTACAAGCACAGCATCACAGCATGCGTTTGTATTGCTTGCATGGCATATGGTGATGCCACGCAACTATCGCTGGTTGTCGCTCTTTTCTACCGCGAATGGTTTTTGCATGTTTTTGCCTTTCTACCTTAGATTCAATATGTCTGGATGCAAAATTCCGTCACAGTGAAGGTCCAAAAAGAGCTAGGTGATTCATCCAGCTGCGGTGTGAAAGCCTTGAGTGGTCATAGTGAATGCAACCACCTGCATCAAGATCAACTGAACTTGACAAAGTCCGTCTTTGCTGATGTCTGCAAAAGTGCGGTGTCTGGAGTTTGGTGTGCCTAAGAAGATTTTGCTTCGTGAAATTTACGAGGGGCGATCTCCTTTATTTTGGTACCTCATGTTCTCATGTGGTGAACATGTTGATGCTCATTGGCTTACGCCTTACACTCCGCTTTCCAACTCGAGAGAACCATCTCGTGGCGCACTTTCCCCGTCCTCAGGGGATCGAGCAATCGCCTGTGTCTGGCCAGTCGGTGTCATGGAGCCGTGTTGGTGGAATTGATCACAAAGCCATCCTGTGACACCCTTGAGTCACCTCTTTTACTTATGAACATGTGGCTCTAAAGAAGTCCCCGACTGAGGGGTCTCACGTTGTCACGGGGACGTGACAAATGACTCTTACTCTCAAACTCAAAACCGACTGACCCTCTTGTCTTACTCTGGGGCCTTCTGATGGTCGCTGCGGCGAATGTGCACCGACACAACTCCTGTTCAACACTGCCGAAACGGCCGTCGCACGTTAGACTTGTCGCGAACATGTGGATGTTTGAGACTTGTTCAAGGTCCGGCTGTCCTTCGGTCTTCGCTTTCTATGGCAGAATTATACAAGCATAGACCCCACATAGCTTCAAAACGATTCGCTTAGACCAATATCAGTCAAAAATCGATTTTTTGGTACGCCCTACTTTCACCCCAAGAGCAAACTGCTTCATCAATGAATTTTTGTCGGCATTGACATCGCTAATTGTTCGGCCACACTCCTCTCCAGTAAGCCGGGCCACAGAGACCAGCCACAGAGTTCAGGGGCGCGGCCAAGACAAGGACAAGAGGAGGACAAGGCCCAGCCACAGAGCCCAGCACAGAGCACAAGAGGAGGACAAGAGCCCAGTAAGCCGTCCATAGCACACGAGCACGCGTGCGCTCGCCCTGCTCTCTCTCTCTCTCTCTAAGTGTTTCTTTCTCTGTCTTTCTCTTTGCACAGCGCGCTCTGACCGCGCCTTTCTGGAGCGTGAGCGCGCCCGTCCATAGCACACAAGCGCGCGCGCGCTCGCCCTGCTGTCTTTCTTTCTTTATTTACTTCTTTCTTTCTTTCTTCCTTCCTTCCTTCCTTGCTTGCTTGCTTGCTTGCTTGCTTGCTTTCTTTCTTTCTTTCTGTCTCTCTCTCTCTCTCTCTGTCTCTCTGTGAGCGCGCCTTTCTGGAGCGTATTTCAGAGCGCGCGCGCGCGCCATCCATAGCACACAAGCGAGCCACAGAGCAAAATTGTTTTGTTCTTCTCGGTCTTTTTTCGCTTCGGCCATATCCATCGTTGCGCGCGCAATCACCAGCTGACCAGCTGATCTCGGGGCGTCGTCCTTCAGGGAGCTGCCACAAGCGCGATTGCAGCTCCAGGATCGGCTGTAGCTGATCTCGGCGCATGGTTTTGGAGAGCGGTGAGTTTTTCTACAAAACTGCTGAGATTAAAAAGTTCTTGAGCTACAGTAGGCAACTACCGCTTATGTCATCTCAATCAGGAAAACGGCCCGACTGCCCGACTTTTCAGATTTTGAAATATTTCCGGTGGATTTCTGTTGGGACCGAAAGTGAGGGCCGCCCCGACCATTTCTAGCGGTGATTTTGGTATTGAAATGTATACAAATATACGGCATCAGTGGGCGGGTATACAAGTCAATCTGATTAAACAAAAAACAATATATATATATATACGTGTATATAAGTTGTCTATAGTATAGTGTGAATATAATATATATAATATATAATATATAATATATGTAATATATAATATGACAAATTAATTGTATTAATTCATATCATATAATATGCGTACATAGAATCACCTGTTTAGTTGACACCCTTCATTTCAACACATTTGAGTCAAGGCACTTAGGAGGTCAGCACGCTCTTCAGCTAGAGCGACGCGGTCCTCTTCCCTACATACAAAAGCGGATGGAACATGTTCTGCTGTGAGGCATTATATAGTTGGACTTGTCCAAGAAGATGGAATACCCAAAGCTCCAAAAACGGCGCGTCTAAAGGATGCTAAAGGACTGAACGTCTTTCATGCCTTCTGACTTCTGTAGTCAGCCTTTTTCACACACCAGGCCCCATCTTGCCAAGAAAAGCTACGTAGCTGCGTGTTGCACAGCCAAAGAGTGGACAGAAACCATGGCTGAAAGCTGGCATTCACAGCTAAAATACTATGTTGTTTGCCAATACGACACATCACATGCACCTTGGAGGGTAGAATGGGTTGAAGGCCCTCACGCAAACGCAGTCCTTGGTGTCTTTGGTCCAAAGTGATGCTCACCAGTGGCCACCTCCCATCGCCTCCCAGCACTACCTACCCCCTTCACAAATGTAACAAGGCACCAAGAGTGTCCCAATACGGCTTAGCTTAGTGGGGCTTAGTCTTGGACGGGGTTTGCAAGTGCTTTCAGGAAGCGTTTCCCACCTGCACGAATCGTCTTTCCATATCTGTCTTGCCTTTCGTGAATCTAAATAGGTGCCCTATTCAGGCATCTGGGAATACAGTTCTAAACTCCCCTTTTCTGAGGTTCAAAAGACATGACTCTTGCCTACATCCGCGCTGTATTCTTTCCAAGCAGCAACCTGCAAGAACTTTGGCCTGCGACATTCAAAGTTCATGTGGGAGAAATAAACCGAAGCTGAAGAAGCAGAATCTGGCTAAATACACATGGTTGAAGCTAAACAGGCAGATTCAAACGCTTGTCTAATTTCTAATGGTGTACCATAGCGGGCAAAGTTGGTGGAAAACCTTGGCCTGCTCTTACAACTGCTTCGACCTACTAGTACATGGTTGCAAACCCTCGTGAAAGAAGCATTCAGCCCAAACCACCAGGTGGGATTCATTACATTCATGATTAATTACATGTCGGTTTGTATTTCAATAGGGAACCCCCCCACACCAATATTCTTCGTCCAGGCGGTCCAGGGGTCTTTCGGGGATCTCCCTATTCCAATAGACCATTTCATGACCCATGACCCCTACGCTGCATGTTCAAGCCAAGCAGCAGGTGTTGATTGTTGAAAGGCTTGCACCTCGGCTCAAAAGAATCTTGGCGCGGCCAGAGTGTTTATTTTATATTGCTATCCTTTCAGCCGACGAATCGTTCAGTCAACAAGAAAGGCTGCCTGTCGTCAACTATGTTTTCCAAACCAAAACAGTCCTTCCTGTATACCTGAGGGCTTGACGCTCGCCATTTGTCGGAAGCAGGGTCAATGACATAGGCAAGACCTGCAAAGACAAAGCACACGTGATGGCGCCTTCCAAATCTCATCCCTACTATGCAAATGACACACATTTAGTGCAGAGCGCAGTTTGAGAGCCACTTGGCGACATGGCACCAGATCACCAGCGCCTGCTCGAAAACATTCCTTGTGGAAGGAGTTAAAGCTGCGCAAGGTTCTCCTGCCAAAGGGCTACCCAACAGTTGTGTTTGCTCAACTGTCATTTAAGAACCAAGTGAAATGAGTTGCAACATGTATAATAAGTACTTTTGATTCTACTTCAACAAGTCAGCAGAGCGAAATGTGATCAAAATCCCTTGGACGCAGTGAAATCAGGTGTCAAAGCATCTACCCTCACGAGGTACGTTCCTGAGTTCTTCACTTTCAGGCCGTTGCTTGGCCTGGCCGTGCAAATCCGGTCGAAGTACAATTGACAGGCTGTTGCCTTGCTGAGCAAAACAAAAGTACTAAGCGAGTCTCCAGATCAAGTGTAAAACAACTGAAGCTCCCATTAATTTGGACCTTCCTTGATGTAAGGGCCCCCTAGTGGACTGCACTCGCTACTTCCAAACGAAAAACATATGCCTTCAAACAAATGAATGCTGCTTGCAAACTCAACATGTGCTGCATGAGAAAATAGAAAACAACTATATATATATTATATATATATATAGCATTATTATATATATAACATGCTCATGCCATCCCATCCCTAGTTTGGCAAGCAGGCCGGGACTGCCAAAATTGTCACCTGCAGTTTTGGCCGTCCCGACGAATACAAATGACTGTCGCGCCTCTGAAGCAACAGGATCCAAAAGAAAATGCTTCAGTTTAACGTGCAAATCAAGGCTTAGCAACTGTTCCCAGATTATGCCCAATTGTGTTCATGTCTGACTTGATCTGTCGGCTGCCTGCTAAGAATTTACAGGATCTGTTTTGCGCCCTGGCAAGGTCCATGGCCAAAAGCATCCAAAAGCCGTTTGGTTTGTTGGACGCATGAATCGCGTGGACCTTCTTTGAAACACGTCGCGCATGCCCAAGGGCAGTAAAACTTGTAAGACCTTTGGAACCCCACTTGTGTGATTTCCTGTCGCATCCTGTCGCATGAGCTTTGTTACCGATTTGTTCAACACCGAAAAAATTGAGTGGGAACAGCCGTCGCCCCGAGATGCTGTGCAAAGCAGCAGAGAAGCAAAGAAACAAAAGTCGTGGATGACCTGAACAAGAAACAAAAGTTCACGTAAAAGCTCCCATCATCCCACCTCTAGTGCGTTCTGAGGCGTTGGCACTCACTCGGTGATGAGCGTAGTCATTCCATGGGCTACTAGACTCGACTGCTTCAATCTGTTGGATGTTTCGGAAAGGAAAAATTGTGTTGCACTGTAGTGCCTTGGATGTATGCTTTCGGGCGTTCTAGTTCCTTCAAACTCATTCCTTGCAGTCATCTTCTTGCGCCTGGTTGGATCTAGCGGACAAGCCTCTTCTGAAACCACGTCTCATCCCATAGCTTCCACCCAGCAAGACATCCAGGTTTTGCAAAAAGTCATCGAAGCCTTGGCCATGACCGACACCAACCCTCCGGGAGTTGGCGCCGGTAACCATTTCCCCAGAAGTGCGCCGGCGCTGGTGGCAAATGGTCGAACTCAACGCAAAACGGGGGGCCGCTTGTCAAATTGTTTTGGCTGCAACTGGGGTTTCTGCTCCCATGGTGTTCTGTTTGTTGGAGAAACCGAGCATGGAGGTTCTTCAGGCCATGGATGCCCTAACGCCACCCGAATGCATGATGCCTTTGTCACCTATGCTTCCCAAAGTGCTGTGACAGGAGGGAATTTTCCTTCAGGCTTGTAGCTTTTGCATCGCCACGTGCAAGTCTTTGCGTGGCAAGGCTCTCCGCACAATCAAACAGATGGGCCGTTGAAACGGATGCCCTCATCGATCAACTTCTGGAGAAACCGATGTCAAAAAATACCAGGTGCGGAGTTCTGCTGTCTGTCTCAAAGAAACAGTCTTCACAAACAGTAGGAAGCTGTCACCCTTGTCTTCAACTTTCACCTTTTCACTCCGAAAGCAAACTCACTGCGACCTTAGCTGCGTGGACCCGGACTGGAGAGCTGCCTTAGAACCGCTACACCAAGTTAGCACCGAGTTTCTCAGTTGTGAGACACAGCGCCCTGCCGAGCAGTAAGCTCGCCAATGAGTCCTTCAAGTTGACTCTCGAGACCTGCCTGATGCGAGTGCGCTGTCTTGCCCCATCTTCTTTCTTCACGCAGGAGGCCTTGGCCCCTACCAGGAATGCAGTCGGATGCAAGCTGGCCTTGTGCCACCCACCAGCTTTTGGACATGGCCCGGCTCTACCTGAGCAACACGCCTGCGGGCACGTCGAAAGACCAAACGGGCGCAGTAGGTGGAGATCTTGGACAAACTAGGCACGCCTATGCTCTTTGACAAGGAAGTTCCTCTGACAGACATGGCGGAGCTGGATGAGGCAAGCGCAGCGGATGGTGAAGACTTGCTGCAACAGTCTGCTCAAGCCCCCTCAAGAAGACAAGCCCACCAGTTTTGTGCGTACACCAGCAAGGCGGCCGAGAAGCCTCCTGTGTCACAGGAAAGCTCCCCGCCCCGCCAAGTAGCGGATGTCTGCACAAATATGTTTGCCAGGGCTGAGCCTCTTGGAGGATGTCTTCACCAAGTCCCGGCTCATTGGCGCCAGGTGCATGCGAGCCGCCGCCAGAGCGAACGTGTTAAATGGTGAGTAATAAGCAAGGCCCTTCTGTGGAATGAGATGCCTTTCATTATTGATCCATTCCAACTGTGAAGGATTACTGCCTGTGAGCAGAAGTCAAGTCACTGTACGACCCTGCCGACTTCAAACACGCAACTCTAAGATTCTTAGATCTCCGGCACGTGTTGCTAGCTTCCTCCATGCTTGAGAGATTGCAGGTATGCCACCGGTGGGACCCATAATACTGGATGCTTTCACCACTTCGCGCCTCATCCCACAGGCGAAGGAGCTCAATGCCAGCAACCAGGGATGGATGGCTTGCCGCCTGACGATCGAATCGAAGCCACCATGCCAAACAAACCTCTGCATGCAGAAGGCTCAGGGCTTTTCGACCGCTGCTGCTCGTAACTCTGACAGCCAGCAGCGCAGACGGCGGTAAGGTGCAAATTTGGAGAGGTCTTCTGCGTGGCTGCTCAGGTAGGTGGTCAATGGGCGTTTCTCGAGTCCATGCATGTCCACGAAGCATGCTTGGTGCAAATGAAAGTGGATACATTCACCGAAACTGGACGGACTCGATTTCGAAAAATGGCCCATGGCCGACGCCTCGGAACCGGAGCAAGGCGACGCCTGCTCCGCAGCGACGCGAACTCTTTGCTTTGCAGTGCAGAGACGGCCACTGTCTCTGAATTGCTTCGCTCGGAGTCTCCTTTCCACACTAGCAGCTAGCAAATGGACAAAGGTCTCATCCTGATCCGTAGAAAGCGCGACTCACAGTCATAGTCCAACTTTGTGAATAGGATGACTCGCTTTGCCAGCCCAGAACCAATCAAGACGCAAGTGCGTTTCCACAAGCTCTCCGGGCGATCAAACTGTTTCATTGGCTGTGCCACATGTATGAAGAGTCTGGGATCATGACCAATACACTTCTAGTAGACGTTGCAAGGTGACAACATTAACTGTAGAGAATGACAAAATCGATTTGTGTCTATCCTTGATTCCTTGCTTCTGAATACTTGTACTCTGCGACCTGGCTCGAACATGTGAACCCGACGCCAGTGAACGCTGGGCAGAACATCCTCATAAAACATCCTCATGTTTTTTGGGGGCTAAGGAAGCTACTAGGAACAAGTGCCACGCTAGTAGTAACAGGTGCCTTACTAGTAGTAACAAGAAGCTACTAGGAACAAGTGACACACTTTGCTTGCAATCCCGATCTCGCCATCCGCCGACCGCAGCTTGGAGCTAGGCTCCACTGAAGCGTGGAGAGTTGCCTCTCCCAGCACTCGTAGAGAAAAACATGTTGAGCTTGTTCCCTGTGATATCCCCAAAATGAGCAATTTTATAAGTACATTGAAAAGAAACACTGGTGTGATCGGTCTTTTTAGTCTGAGCACTTTTCATGAAACAGCGAGAAGCTACATGTGCCATGCCAACTCAACCTGACTCAGCAGCCCGTAGTGGTCCGATAGTGGAGCAGTCAAAAACTTCTCTGGGTCCACAACGGCGGTGCTCAAAACTTTCATCTCCAGTGTTCTGGAGCAGTTGGCTTCGATATCCGAATCAATCTCATCCAAAAGCCTTGTGCTCAGGCCCTTGTCAGGCTCTGGAAAATCTCCATCTCTTTGGTTTTGGAGAAAAATGAAGTCTAGTTGCATGCTTCGAGGGGTGTTCGAATTTCTGCGCGTCAGGGACTGCTGCAGGTCCCAAGTGCAGTTTTGCCTCACCCGCCATTCCCCAGGGCCACTGGCACAGGTGAATCCAAAAGAGGGTGCAGCTTCCATGCCCTTCTGAGGGAAATTGGTGATCATATGTATGTGATAATTGGTGGAAATTGGGAAATGGTGCCCTCCATGAATCATTGGACTTCCTCTCATGGAGACAAGTGAATCTACCAAAAGTTAAAATCCTTTCCAAGCCACTCAAGCAGGCCATCGGTGGCGACTAGGCCTGATTGGACCAAGGGCTCCAGTTGTCGCGAAAGGCCCAGGTCTGGCAAAGGGTTGAAGTCACCTGCCGGCGATGAACATTTACCTCACTCTTTGCCACCGGTCAGCATCTCTAGGACAGTGTACGGATGTGTACGGAGTTGCACCAACAGCCAACACCCACAGCCACACAGCCGCACAGCGACCGAAGCGGTCAGCTCAGGCGACCCCTAAATGGCGACCCCTAGGAACAAGGACACGATTCGGTGGAGGCCATGGCTACTAGGAACAAGAAGCTGCTAGGCTACTAGGAAGGAAACCTCAAAAAGGCTTCGCGAATGACCGCGAGCCGCCTGTCAAATCGAGAGGACCCCTCGTTCAAAAGAGGAACAAAGGGAGGAACAAAGCCACGGATCGTCTCTTTACTTTGGAGTTTCTTCCATTTAGTGCGTTTGAGCCCACATAGGTCTGCTTGAAACTTGAAACCAATGTACAACCGCAGCATCTATCCACGAGGGGAACACTAAAACCAATAAAGGCAGAGCATTCCTTACCATGTCTTGCCAAGATGCCCCTCAACATCTTCAAAAAAATGATTGAATATGAAGATCTTCACCCGATCCATATCCCCAATATTCCCAACATCTGGCGAGCCTGCTAAAACCACAGCGCTTTTGGAGGTGAACTTGGCCGCATAAGACCCCAAGCTTTGCCTCAACGGTTTGCTGGGTCTTTGAGGGGATCAGCTGGGCATAAATTTCGCTCACAAGTCTGCCGCCAAGATGCAGCAGCTTGGCATTGTCGGTTTGGTGCGGCAAGTGCGTATTCAAAAGGGTGAGCTTGCCCCTGCACTTCGACAGGGTCAAGGGCACAGAGACACGAAGTACCCCACGAAGTCGAACATTGAAGAAGACGCTAAGCCAAGACCTCAGCCAAATGGCTTCACACCATCAACCCCTGTTCTCACACAGTGCATGCACCTGCATGAAGGTACGTGTGCGTGGGTAGCCACTGATTAATCTGACGCATCACTTCATCCATTCGAGTCCCATAGCGGGACTGGCTGCCACAGAACAGGTCACCGGATCATCGTATGGTATGAAGTATTGGACATATATTATATAATTCGGGGATTGCTCTGGTGCGTCCAAGACAAGAAAAGAACTCACAAAAACTGCAACACACATCAATACACCAATATCCTGCAGTAAATTACCGCAATTGGTGACTTGCCTCTAAATCCCAATGTTGAATACCACGTCATCAGCAGTCTCATTCAGCCAGGATCCCTTACAATCAGCACATTTCCAAGCTGGAACAAAGTCCATGATCCTTTTCCAGATTGTGATTAGGATGGTTACTTGCCTCTTCCTACTTCCTTGGGATACACGTTGAGACTCATTCACGTGGGTTCATCCATATCACGTCTTGCCTTATATAATCCGTGTCACGAAGTGCGAGTGAGTGCATGATTTTAATACAAGCGTTTGTTGTTGAGTGCCTTTCCGTGATCCATCTGGCCTTTCCGTGTCCGCTGTGCCTGAGTTTGGTTGCGCTTGTCTGTTGTTGCCTGCTGTGATTTCTTGGAGTTTCTCACACCAACCACCATTGGGGGGCCAGGGTCCTTGTTTTGTGCTTCGGTTGTGTTGAGTGAGACAACTCCAACTGCAGCAGTATTAAGTCATCTCCTGATTGCACCAAATGTTCACTTCGCTCAAGGAGCCTCTCACGTTTCTAGCCTTCCAAGGAACGGTGTTTCAATTGACGCGACATCACTTGTCGCCTCAAAGCTCCCAAAAGTCTCAAAGCTCTCTGCAAAGAAGCCGTCGCCCGTCAGTGCGAGGCAGCTCCTGAAACTCGCTGAGTCATGCGGTTCTCACTGCATGGATCAAGAGGATCATGTGGCGTTGCACGCATTTCTTTTTGAGATGCATGTGTATATATATAATATATATTATTATATACAGTATGTTATATATATATACATATGTACAGATATGTATGTACAGTATACAAACATTCCAAAAAAAAAACAGATGTCTGATGTAGGACTGTAGGTTACTTATGTGCTTCCTGTATTGTGACTGGTTTGGAAAACACGCGACAACTTTGAAGTCAAGGCTCTTTCGGCGTAAAACGACCAACTGTCCCGCCACGTCGCCAAAAAGGAAATGTGCAGGCACTGAGTGTCGCCACCGGAGCACAAGGCTTGTAAAGAGTGGACAAATCAGCAACCAACACCAGCTGGCGGGAAGGGAATGCGAGAATTGGCTGCACGGAAGCACAATCAGGAGCTGAATGCAAAGGCACTGTCCAAAGGCTACCAACAGCAGAAAAAGAGTCCAAAGAATGAAAGCTCCAAATCTGGGACTACATCTCATATAGGCAAAATCAAATTCATCTGCTAAGTGGAGCATTAATGAGTCCAGCATGGATGTGCTAAGCATTTCCTGCAGTAAGATCAAATCAGCTCCAGAATGTCGAATGTAATCGGCTTGTTTTGCAAAGCGCTGCTGGGCCAACACACTGTGGATCTGCATGGGGGCATCATGCCGCGAATCATGCCACCAACATCCAAGGAAAAAAAGCCCCATGAGGAACTTGGCCGAAGGGATGTGCAAAGGGAACGAAATGGCACAAGTATTCCACGTCATGATGTTCACATGCTGCGGCTCGCTCTCAGGTACTCCTGAAATCTGAACATATGACGCATTCACATGCCGGAGATCAGTCTCCCCAATTGCAAAGGCATTTGCCTCATGTCCTTCCTCTTTGTCTGAAACTCTGCAATCCAAAGCCACATCTCGAAGAATCTTTGCAACCTGAACATTTGACAGCTCGGCAAAATTATCCTCTGTCTGTCTGTCTGGCTGGATGGCTGTCTGTCTGCTTCAATCTGCCTCTAGGATCCTCTCTAGCCTAAGGATCTTCGGAATTCGGAATACAAACAACACATCTTAACTTGTAGCTACTAGTAACAAGGGCATCACTACTAGTAGCTAGAAGCTACTAGTAGCAAGGGCAAATCTCTGTCTTCCGTCCACTCGTCTCGTTCCGTGCCTCTGAGGCTTGGTCATCACTCTCTAGAGTTGCAGCTTTGGACATAAAAAGGACAGATTCACAGAGCTTGCCACAAAACCTCGAGCTTTCAGAATCGATCTCGTGCGAGAATGATGGAACTTGACGACAAATCACCAGTAAGCGTGAGAATGCAAAAACTCGTGGAAAGAACTTACCTTGGCGTCATGATATGCCCAACGTGTGTGAAAGTAACGGCTTGATGATTCAAGTCTTTGACCTGAAAAATCCGTCGCTGGCGGGGGGGTTGTTTCTTTGTACGAGTGAGAGTCCTTGGCCGTCTATGGACTGTGGGCCGCCACATCATGTCATCATGGTATCCACGATGCTTCTTTGTACTCCACCCTGTTGGGTACTTGCGCTGCTGAACATGGTACCAAGGTCCGTTTGAGCGGACCCTGTGAATGTCTTGTGTCAGTTGTGTGAATTTGGGAGGCCTGGCTGAATGAAGAAACCAAATGTTGGAACTGTGCGGTCCAAGTCCGTGATGCAAACTGAGAGGAGTTGACGTATCTGTGGAACATGTCCGATTCAATCTGCTTCAGTAGGTGACTTGCAACATCTTGCAACCAAAGTGCCTTTGAGTTTCGAGAATGTCGGAATGTCTTGCATCAGAAGTCCGTGATGCATGCGAATTTCTTGAGAATTTCTCTTGAAAACATAACCAAAGTGAAGTACACATGGATATGGGTAGAGGCTGAGGGAGAAAAAGAAAGAGAGAGAGAGAGAGAGAAAAGTTTTCCATTGACACATTAGCGCTTCCTTCCCCGCTTCACTGGTCACTGCAGTTCTTTTTCTAGAGCTCTTCATCTGGCACTGCGAAAATGATACGAAAGGCCCGCTCAAGTAGACCGCATTTTGATCATCCAGGGGTATCGCTTTGGCATCGCTTCATGTAAAGCCAAAACAAAGCCAAGAGACGGATGTCCAGAGCTTTCATCTGACAAGGTTGCAAAGTAGATTGAAACAAATGATTGAAGTGTACCTTGTGAAGGTACCGCTTTGGGGGGGTCACTATATTGCTTTATTATTGGATGAGTTCAATTTGTGCACAGCCCTTTACTGTAGAATGTTGCTCAAATCGTGCTCAGTGTGTTCTTTTTGGGGGATGATGCAAAGCATACCAGAACATCCTATCTATAGTCTTAAACACTAAAGTTAGTACCAAGTTGTACCGCACCTTTCTATACCAAGCAAGCGTGTGTGTCGAACCAACCATGTTTCCCAACTTGACAGTCTCTCGGAGACACGTGGCAGCCACGAATGCGTATCACGCGTAGAGTTGTAAGACAGTTTGCACAACAAACCAAGCTGTGGTAACAATTGGATTCATGGCAGCTCTTAGTGGACTGGTAGCATGAGCATAACTGCACACACTGCAAAAGCCAACAAATGCGATCTCTCAACGCATCTCAAATCCATCAAAGGAGCTCTTCCGCATTTGGTGAGTCTCGCTTGCAGCTGGAATGCTTCGCATGCTTCTGGAGTATCCTTACCGTGAGCACCTGTGAGCTACCTTTTAGGGGATTGCGCGGACTAGCGGACAAAGCGCAAGACACCCAGGATCTTGAATGGTTTTGGAGCAAAGTACTCAGTCGGGCTGCGGGAAGCTTATGAACAGTAGTGGACATCCAAACACCATTTTGAAACTGCTGTACAGAGGACAGAATTCACTGATGTGGAGACCACTGAAAGGCAGAAAAGATCGTCACAAAATATCAAAAAGAACTTATCAGCAGCACCCTCCCTTAGCAACTTAGCAACTTTAGACTCCAGCTCAGCTCACCGAGATTCCTCTTCACAGCCAAGTGGTTCAGCAATGCAAAGGTCGCCAGGTGCTTTGACTCGGCCTCCATCCCGTAGTTCAGTCGCTGAAAGAAGGCATCCACCTTTTTGGGCCAACTCACAAAAGCTAAAGGCAAGAGGACGCTACTAGGAACAAAGGGCATCGCCCGGGCATCGCTACTAGGAGCAAAGACGCTACTAGGGGCCCCTGGCCTTACTACTAGGAACAAGAAGCTACTAGGAACAAAGGGCATCGCTACAAAAATCCAGCCTCACCTGAAATTGACTGACTATGACTGGGTGGTTGAAATTGCCTGATGGTGTCTGCGTGCCAGGCCTCGGCAATTTCACGCCATAAGGTGTCCAAGAAAGCACTCGGGTGGCTGCGAAGCAGTTGCTTCCTTGGCTGCAAACCGGCTGGAGGTCTTGCCAATGCCCAATGCCTGAACTTAGAGGCCATGAGGTTGCCACGGTTCACTTGAAACAAATATATACTGTACAAAACAAGTTGGATCCGAACCAAACAAGATCTCGAAGAAAACTCCAATGCAAGAAGAATGCTTCCCCAGAAAGATTCCCATGGCCCAAACGACACTGAAACAACCTTTAGCTTTAGCCCATGTCGTCTGCATCCTACGAGTTCCATGGGAGCATCCTGTCGGTGCTGTTCTAAAGCGCCAAGGCGCCATATCATCTATTATGGCATTCTTCCAAACAGAATTCCTCTAAAATATCTTAACATACTTCAACAAGGCAGACGTGGGCCACACCCAGAAGGAAAAAAACGGGGTCTTTGACGGGTTTAGGATCTTGGAGGGTCTTGAGTCACGGTCCCCCATTGCGACGAGGACTCAGAACATCATATGCGATGTATCGCCACTCCGGTCTTCGGTGCGCCGCCAGAAAGTGCTCAAACTTCTTCAGCGCCATGGCTTCGCACGGCGGACCACCTACGCCTACGCCTTGGGCCGAAGGTCGAAGGCAGGCCGCTTCGGCGGGTTTTGCCAAGGACAGTGCCTTCAAGACGTCGATGTCTGACATATGCTAGCAAGATCTCACTGTTTCGCTTGCTTTGTTTCCGACCTTAACGTTCCAGGATTCCTGAGGACGTTCATGGAATTTCATGGTTTTCCCACTGATGCATCTCTGACCCTGTTGAGGAGCTGAAACATGCTGAAACCACTAAATGCCGCAGCGACTGACAGCCCCCCTGGGCTCTCCTCGTGCAGATCGTCAACTTCTATGAGCTCGGTGGCAAAGAGCTCTGGCGGCCGGGAAAGCAGTCACATGAAGCGGTACGCATCCCGTGAAGAAGGGGATGATGCATGTTGGGAACTCGTCAAACAAGAATTGATTTGCAAGGATCCAGTCAGAAAGCAAGCTTCTACAAGTGAGCGATGTTCAAAACCTAAGCAAGATTTCACAAGTGGTTCGAGTGGTTTTGCTCGAGTGGTTGCTTGATCGCTGCTCAAGTGGTTCTGCTCCCTCACAACCTCCACTTGGCCTCTCCAGCGACAATTGCAATCTGGCAAAGGCTGCCAGTCCAGGACAAACTCACGGCCCAAATGATTGGCCAGCATGCGCCTGACGATCTATTTGTTCGACAGCAACCAACAGAATGATGGTCGATGATGGTCTTGTCACTTCTGGAGAGCCCTCTGAACCAGGGCTCTTCCACAAGGGCTCTTCCAAAAGGTTCCACTGCTCACAACTTTCGCCAAAAAACGAGTCAAAGCTTTCTAATAGCGATGGCCTCCACCCTACTTGCGATGGCCCCCAACCTAGTGGCGATGGCCTCCAACCTACCCAAACTGGCCGGCAATACCCTGCTGTGACAGCTCTCAGGCGATTGCAAAGGCCCCAATGGGGTTGTACCAAAACCCAGCCAGGTTCCTGCAGCTCCTGACACGAAAATGTTGAGCGATTTGGAAAGTCCTAAAGCCTTGTGCTGAAGTCTCATAATGTCTCATAGTATCTCAAATCGACAGCAACATATCTTAAATTCCCTCTGAAAATCTCTTGGACATTGTTTCTATCTATTTGGGGACCGAGCTTCCATTTCTGAACTGCCTGGGTGCTGAGAAGGGGAGGCCAAACTTCAAACGTGACAAGCTGGTCCTCATCCGGCATCATCGCAGGTGCATTCCATGGCTTGGAGAACCAAAGGCATCAAATGTGGGCCCGTTATGCTGGGTCTTCAAACTCCAAGTGCGCCACGTGCAGCGTGGTACCACTGGTTTCGAACAGAAACAACATGTCAAGTCCTCCAAGTTAGATACTGTATTACTGGAGAGCCATGACAATCACAAGGCATTGTGACTGCATGCATGACATGAATGATACTGACCGGTCATCCATCCTCTCATTCTGTCAGAGCAAATGTTTGCAAGGTCGAGTTTCCCTGAGTGGCCACCATGAAGCATGTTCTGCAGATACGTGTTGCAACCGCGGGCAAACGTTGTATTGTATTTTAGCATGCTCCAGCTTGGCTTGACACACTTACGAATATATACAATATATAATATACATAACATAACTCCTGCACTACTGGTCATTGATACAGAGATCACAAACACCACTCTGTCTCACCTCCATGATGGCATCCAACAACGCAGGGCGAGCGACCTGGAACGCCAATTCGCTCAAAGAATCTCATTCCGCCTGGGTCGACGAACCTCCTTCCGGATTTCTCCGATTTCTCCCCAGCTCTATGCCGTCGGACGGCCGACTCACCGCCAGACGAAGAACGCCTCGCCGCCTCGCCGCCTCGCCACCTCGCCTTTGGCTCGTGAGGTACTGGCTCAGAGACCTTCAAAGCACCTGCTTTGCTGAGATCTTCCATGACTCGGACCTCTGCAGGCATGTCCTCAGCACAGAATGGCTGGTTGCTCTGAGGACCATAAGGAGGGTGTTCATTGCCACAGTTGTTGGCTAGTTTTTGACTTGGCGTTTACATAGAAACTTCTGGGTTGGCAAATGTCACTATCACTACAGAGATGCTAGACAGGAAACGCGCACAATTGCAGCTGGGGGCTGTGCTGCGGTGTGTTAAAGTTTGGTGGAACCCTAGCAGCAAAAGCCCTGTGTAGTGTGGCGACAGCGGTGATTGTCTAGCCATACTCCCCACGCTGCTGGGTGCTGGATTCGCTGGGTGTAAGGCTACTGGACCTTTCTGCATTCGGTGCACACGTCTCCTGCGGTAAAAGAACAAAAAAAAACATAATACAAGGACTGTGATTGTAGAAATGCATAGGACTCTGGACCCAGTGCAAAGTTGAGCAATGCCTTGCATTCATCTACAAAGGCAGCTACGTACCAGGCCCGCCCTGGCAATCAGTTGATCCGACAAAACATTGGCACCCAGAATTCGAGAGCATAGGGTGGAGGGAGAAGTCCAAGTGTCTGGGTCCGTGTCTTCATCCAGGTCAGGAACGTGTCCATGCAGTTTGAGTTGTTCGTAAAGGCGGCTCTTCAAATAGCTCTTGCTCATGAGCCTAGTGTAGGCTTGAAGTGACCTGAAAGGCCAAGACAAAACATCAGGTCTCTGAAGAAAAAGATAGACAGGTACTATCAGGTTGTACAGCCATATCATGCCTTACCTCCCTTGTCTCCTTTCCATTCCTGCAAGATCATTTCAGGTTGCAAACAAATCCAAGCTTGCAGGTAACCATGTCAACCACGCCTGGTTAGCCCCTACCCTAGCAACCCATACCAAAGTCCTTTCAAACATATAATATATATATATATAGACATCGTGTCCTTGCCACGAGACAAAACATATGACCTATGTGCTACTTCGAGCTATCCCCATCCGACCAGGCACACGGCTAGAGCACTTGGGTCAGGGTGACTGTCTCGAAAATCCAGGTATATATCCGGGACAAAAAAGGATCACAAACTTGCACATCCCAGACACCAGGGTTTCGAGATTACCAAAGGCAGCGGCCGCACGCCTCCTTGGCCTTCATAGCGCATGAAGTCAAAGAAACCTTCACCGCCGCATCTGATCCGATGATCCGTCGAACTGAAGGCGCGTGGTCCGTCGAACTCGATGGCCCGGTTTTTTGAACGATGTCTAGGAGATGAAAGTGAATGGCCATCCCCTTGAACCTACTATAATCTACTATATATAGCAGGTCGTGTTAAGACCATTGCACGTAATATGTTTAAAGCTATTCAACGTAGACTCCAACAGCTGCTAAAGGTGCTTTGTGGGTTCTACGGTATTACTGTGAACCTGAAAAAGTCACACAACACAAAGTGTCGCTCCGAGGGAAAAATGAAAAAAGCCAAAAAAAGAAAAAAGCGGCACACAGGTCAGTGTTAGTCAACATGGGTCCACACGCCTTGCCTGGTCTAAGGCTTTTCTCCACCTGTGCAGCCAGAAAAGCTCTGGAGAAATTCCCATACTGACGCGTGTAGTCCAGCATGAAAGGCACCGAGATGGTGGCGTGGCCTCAGTCATGCACCCACGTGCAAGCCCATCTTTTTTCACCATGAACCTACAGGTATAAAGGATGAAGAGATATGCTCACGCTTGAAGAATATGCTGTGGGGAGATGTGCTGGCATCTTTTTCACATGCAAGCATCACGTTTACTAGACCAGCCAGCAATGCATCAAAATTGAACGAAGGCTTAAGTACTGTCCCCATCATCTTCGTTAGAAACGATTAGACAAACATGTTAAGATCAGCCTCTGCTGTTTTTTGCGTATATTGCAACAGTAAACAGCGCATATCATTCTTCTAATCTTCTCAGAGCGCAGTCTTGACAAAACGAGACACAGCGCGTGAAAAGGGCTGTCCTCAGAGCGCAGTCTTGACAAAACGAGACACAGCGCGTGAAAAGGGCTGTCAGCTCAGGCCCGTGAGTGGAGCCAAATAATTTTGTGGTATCGCGCAACAAGTTCCTTAGGCCAAAATGAAAGGTCCGCTGCATGTCTGTTTCACAAAAGGTCTTAACATGTTGAGATGTTGCGCACACTTTTTGAATGTAAGACTTAAATAGACTTTAAGACTTAAGACATCTCAAGACTCAAGACTAGTGTCTGGTACGCAGTTTGCCCTGGTTTGTCTCGAAACTGCGCCAGTCTCGAGGCAATCCTCACACAGACCTGGCTTGCATTGGGACACCAATGCTGTGCCATGTTTTTGGGGCTGTGGGAGCCATGTCGAGCGGCGAGCTGGTGCTCGAGATGACGGACCAAAGGTTGACCACACTGGGAAAGCTCCTAGTAGCGTCGCTCCTGGTAGTATGGCCAGGAGCCCCTAGTAGCGTCCTTGCTCCTAGTAGCGATGGCCTTTGCTCCTAGTAGCATCTGGCATGTTCATCATATGTTCAAGTTTCATAATCATGAAATGGGTGCGACAGTGATCAAACACCATACTGCATGACATTGGCAATGATCTGGCCTCGGCAGGGCGACGACGCACCAGCGTGTACATGAAGGCGCGATGAAGCTCTTCCAAGGATATGGCATCAACATCCAGTACTCGTACCTTAGGAAAAAGAACAAGAACAACCCTTCAGGCTGCGCATGCTGCGAGAAGTAGCGAGTTGTTTCTTGGTCGGACGCTCATCCATCAGAACCCAAGACGGTGTGAACATGTTGGGAGCATCATGTCAAAACAGGCATCTTTTGGACTACTCAACGGTCTGCTCACACTGCTCAAGCTGTCTAAAGGCACGTTGCTCGGATTGGTTCCTCATCATTAAACTCGAACTGCCCCTTCCGCCTGCTTTGTCTGCCCTGTTTCTCATCCTTGTCCTGAGAGCGAGCAACAGCCATGAAGTATCACTTCACTTGTTCCTTCCCACTTCCCACTGTTCATCATTGAGGATCATTCACGTCTTTTTCTTTCTCACTTGTGAGAAAGCAATTTGGTCTTGTCACGTGTTGATCTAACTAAACACAAAGGCACTTACAAAGGTCCACCAAAACTGAACGGACAGGTGACCGGATCACCCCACGTGTAGAGCTTTTGTGTGCATACGCAGTCGAGGCAAAAGCGGAAGCAGCCGCCCCGACCCAGACGCATCAGCTGAACCTCCCACCCTTTGAGTATCAAGGGAAACACGGGGGCAGGATGCCAGCTGCTCAATGGTAACCCCAGCGCGTCAGCCTATCCCCTTACGAGCGAGCAACACATAGGGAAACACAAACTTCGTGTAGGCAGCACGATGTGAGTTGAGTGCAATTTTGTGTTCACCCACTGGTAACCCCTCCTTCTCCCGTGTCTGAGGCACGGCATCTCGGCTCTCTCCCGACTGCTCAGCTTTGGCCACCTCTGCAAGGCGATCCAGCCACCCCAGGGGTACACGTGCCAAGCGTTCCTCTGTCGGCCGCAAGCGCTTGAGGCCTCGCATGTCGATGCTGGGCGGGTCTGCATCCTGACACGAAATCCACGCGACGCGACGCGAAGAGTACATGGCAAGAGTGGAGATACTGACACCGGTGAATGCTGAATGGTCTTCCCGAATCGTCCTGGGTCCCTCGGTTCGCGGTAATTTCTTGGACGTTCTTGGATTTGCTATTGAAAGGTCGTGATCTGTGCACGGACCTATCATCCTATACGCAAACCCACAGCCCATCATCCAAGGTTCATTCGGTACCTGAAGAAATGACAGGGGGAGTTTCGTAACAGTCTCATTCTGGGTTGTTCTCATTTTGTTCTCAGCGATCTTGCTTGGGGGTGGATGGAAGTGTTCAATTCTTACCCTTCAATGTGTATTTTCAAAAGAAACCGTCTTGAGCTCTGTGAACCCAACCAAGGCAAAGTTGAGCTCAGGGTCCTCCTCTATCTCCATAGCATCTAGTGGCATTGGCTCCTCCGCGTGCTTGTGGAAGATTGGTGCTGCAGGTCGCAATTGCAGTGCCGCCTGAAAACAAACAGAATGCATGAGATTCGACCAACAAAAACTCTTGGTTGCTTGTGGCGGTTTCGCATCCAGAATGCTTACAATTGGTTGCCTGTGCAGCTTTCTTGCACCAGCCTCTTCATCGAAAATGTCTTGATCTTGGGGCTCCTGCTCATCTGCTTCCTGTGAAAGGCGTCGTGAAGCAACCACAAAAGCGGCAAACGATTCACTGCACCGCCTCCATGGTGGGTTCTCTGCCAAGGCCATCCATGCGTGGAGGAGCCAGGCGACCCAAGCCGCTGCGAGTGTCAGCTTCCCTGGAAAGTGCCGAACGGCAGGCACTAGACTTGAAAGGAAGCCTATGTCGGTTCTTGAAAGGAAGCCTTGCTGGAAGTCATTTTCACATATTTTCACTCTGTTTCACTCGCGAGGATTTGAGCACCCATGACACGATGTGTGACATTGGGGCCCTACATTGCAGGTTGCAACTGGAACAATGTCTTCGGGCAAACAAACGGCTTTGCGATGTTGGCCCTGCGGAGAATCAGGTCATCGTATGCAGCAGGAAAGAATGGCATCGGCGTCGTATGAAGGGTTCTGCTTAACGCCCTGCGATTCAGAACACTCAGATTGTAAGAGAGAAGCTTCGCTTTCAATGATGGAAGCAGCCCAGTAAACCAGTAAGCCGTGAGTTGCTGAGCTTCTATTTCTGCTGCATCGTACTGGGTGGCTTGGCACAAGGACGAGTCTGCAAAATGGTTGCCAGATGTTGCCAGAACATGCCTGAACTAGAACTAGACCAGGCGCAGCCAACCCAACATGGACATCGATCAACTTGCAATCATCGAAATACACATCCTTGGGCATCCTCTTTGCGTCGCTCATAGCAATGCGGGTCGCTCATAGCAATGCTTGGTCTCACCACATCCGATCGGCCACTCCTTCAGTCGTCCTTCAGTCGGAGATACATGGGCTTGGTTCACATTGATGTCCGGCAGCCTCACTCGCATCATAGAGCTGGTTCAAATGTTTCCTGCGATTGGAGTCAAAGAGAAACATCACCCAGTGCAGCATTGGAATGGGGAACAGGATAATTAGGGACCAACCCCCTCGGATTGAGGAACACTGCATCAAGAGGTTCATCAGCGATCGCCAGCTTTGCAAGTTTCCATGAAGTTCCCATTCCTTACAAAATCCCTTGGGCGGTTCCCAATTATGTGCAATGTAGACGCTTGATTAATCAAACCCCCTATTTGGATGCGCGGACTTGCGAGTCTGTGGCGCTTCTACGTTACCCCTTGTCGTGATATTCACAACGGGTGTAAGTAGAGTGTGTGAGAACTGACCTGTAAAAAACCATTGAACATATTTTCATATGGTGAGTTTTATTAATCAAGACATTAGTCGCACTAATTGCAATCAAGTCGTGCAACCGAAGCCAGTGGCATGCAACTAGCATCACAAAACTGACGCCGCCGGCAGCCGAAACTCGTGGGTGGTGAAGAAACAAACCCACCGAGAGCCCCTCCCCCAGAACTTGCTACATCTGTCAGAACAAATGGGCTTACGGTACGTACGGGAAACAGATTCCGACCCAAGAAACTGAACACCCAGGGCTGCTTAAAAGCCAGAAATGGAAAGGAAGAGATAGCTTGGGACGGAAGAACGAGAGAGAGAGAGAGAGAGATCCCCAAATCTGATTGCTTAGAATCCGACGTTGCAAAGCCCTCTTCCTTGGTAGAAACTCGATAGGAATTACTGTCAAAAGACATGCCAGGTCCCACCCGCGCCCACTACTCCTCCAGCTGGTCATGCCAGAGATCTCTGATGACTGATCTGAAGAGTCGCAGCAATTGGCATCCTTGATGCAGCCTCTTCAAGAGACCGGGCTAGTTGCTAACCTTTCAAACAAGAGGGAGTTGCAACGTGGGTCCACTACAGCCCAAGCAAAAAAAAACATAGTTGCACCAAAACTCTTTGAGTCAAAAAAGGTCTCCCTATTCCAATGGCTGTGTCCAAATCTCTCGGGAGGGAAAAGGAAGGTAGCAAGGACTATTGCAAGAACTGAGGGGTGTTCTTGGATACAAGTCTACAGACTTGCTTGGTGGAATCAAGTTTCTCAGGAATATCCACATGATCCTTTGGTTATTGTTCAACCAACTTATGGATGCAAAAACTCTCCGAGGAATCTGTTGCACCCTTCCATCTTTTCTGAATATGGATGTGCAACAAAACCTGATGTGGCCGTGAAGAGTAAGAGCCTTCACATTAGCAGGATACTCTCTACCTACGAGTATCATGGTAGCTGGGGTTTCGTCGATTCAGCCCCATGCCCAGTCCTTTCACTCCTGTTTTTGGGGTGGGCGCAGGTTCATATCACAATTTGCCTCCAAACTTGGCCAGTTCAGTGCACTCATACTGCTCCGGCACGGCGCAAACAGTTGCTGCCTTGGTCTGGAGATCACCAAGTTCACAGTTGGAGATTACAAGTTCGGCACATCAGTGAACTCAACATGACCTGAATAGTAATGCTATTGTTCGAGTTTGCTCAATATGAACTGTAGTTGAGGCCAAGGGATGAAGAAAAAGTGGCCATGGAGTGGCGCAGGTCGCATCAATGAAAAACGATGAATGAAATGAGCTGAGGTCAGTAGAGCTATAGTTTCTATTTTAGCCCTGGGGGGTAGGCCGTTAGAGGGAGGTAGGTTAGCTAGGGAGTCGGTAGCTAGTAGAAGAGGTAGCTAGTGGCTTTAGTAGCTACTAGCATGGACGGAGGATAGCTCACGCACTATTCATTTGGTTCCTAGGTTTTGTTGGGGGAACTTAACTATGTTAGCTGAGGTAAGTAGAGCTATAGATTAAGCTGAGCATAGCCGAGCCAAGATGAGATTCGCAGGCCTCATGTGAGATATACTTGGGTGCTGTCAGAGCTTCTGTCCCACGCGACGGGATTCGGATTGGGGTAGCTAGGTTTCAAAAGTAAACAACCCACGGTATCGTGACCTCTGCTGCTGCCCAGCACCTGGCCAGTCTTAAGGGCTGTGCCCCACACGACCAAGTTCTTTATAGCACTGCAGAGGCGTCATATTGGGACAAGCTTGGTCGGCAGTGTGCAGGGCGATTATAAATTGAGTCACACTACCGATTGTGCAAATTGCGGCCTCGTTGAATACAAAGACGATTGTACCATTACATGAGTGAACATGTACTACATGAGTTGGTGTGAATAAGTGAGGCAAAGGTGCAAACTCAGTTAAACTATTCTCTTATGCTGGTTGCTGTGGGGTGAGCTCAAATGAGAAGGTCAAGTCTACAATGCCACATCTGCTCCGATACAACAATGTCTGCGCGCGTGCGCTTCAAGTATCACACAATATGGCCATGCTGTTACCTTGCAGCCAATGTGCGGAATGGTCACAGCCCCCTTCACAGCCATTCAGACCACCCGCGCCAAGCACGGCCAAGACGCACATGAAGAGTCTCGAGCATTCCATTGGGACAAGGCTGGACGGTTCCTACTGAGTCTCAATGCTTTGAGGGCGACTGCATGGCTCACGGGCAGCCCATGTCGGTCCTTCCACATGTTCCACCAAACCGCGCGGAGCAACAGCCTTGATCTCTGCCTGGCCTGGAACGACTTGTCCTCGCAGCGCGCACGCCAAGAGGAAGGCCTTGCCAAGAGGGACGGAAGGCCTTCCGAGCTTCACGATAAAACATGGTGAAACATGGCAAGCAGACGGGTTTGTTTTTCTTAGTTGCAGGGAAACTATGGGAAACTCGTAGGAGATGAGCCCCCAATTCATTCCGTCATCCCCACTGAGCACACGTTGACGTAAAAGAATCTGTCCCTTCAGTCAGCTTCTGAGCAGCTGAAAGCACATCAATCCCCACGACGGGAGCCAGTCCAAAGGCCATCACGTCGGCCACCCAACAGGCGCGGTTGGGATAAGAACTGTCCAAAGGGGTTCCTCGATGGCGATCAGAAAAGAGCCGCAAACTTGCAGTCGGTTTGAGATGTTTGAGTGCGCTTCGAGATGGCCTGCAAGAGTTGGTCGGTGGACCTGCAGCCTGCAGTGCCTGCAGATGGGTTATGTCAAGTCCGAAAGTCCATCGGTGTCTCTTCAGAACTTCAATTGATGCAGTGGCATTCAGATAAATTCAGCATGGTGCGGTTGGAGTCCCTTGCAGAAGTCCTACTGGTGAAGTAAACAAGGCCTGAAAAGACTGAGAAGGGTGGTTATTTGGAACAGAAATACAGTTCTGTTGGTGAAATGACTCGAATCCATGCCTGCCGTGAACTCTGCAATGACGGCGGGCCTCGATGCATCACTCTGAATAAAGCTCCGAGGCTATCTGCTTCAGATCTGGACAACAAACAAGGCATCCGTAGACTTCCTGGATTTCCTGTGCAGGTTGTTTCACGAAGAGTGAATCCAAGTCCGGAAGCTATGCATAGCTTGTTTCAAGTCTGTAGAAGGCTCTGCAAGCTAGTTGAGCTGAGTGCACAGCTAATGGTATCCATCGTAGCATGGTGCATCAGTGCTTAGAAAAAAATCGTGTCGAGTCAATCTTTAGGTCTGCTAACTGAGCTCTGCCAAGTGAGCTCTCGAATCAAGCGATGATTTGTGAAATGTCGTGCCCATGTATTAGCTGTCTTAGGCTCTCAAATTCAGCTTAGCCCAATATCGAAGTGTTCCTGCATTGATGGGGCATGCTGCCGCTGCAAACGAAATTTGCGTGCAAAGGTTGGATGGGGTGATGCTAGTGGTGAGCTCTCCACTGGACAACGGGATATGGTTTCTTGAAGCAATAGCACCTATCGCTAGGGTGGCCAGGTGGATAGGGTCAAAGACCACTAAATGCGAAAAGGTCTTGTGGCATCCTGTTTACCGTATGTATCACAATCAACTGCTTGCATTCATGATACCAATCCAGGATCATGACATCTGAGATGGCTAGCAGCACAGCCATGCGACAACAAACAAGTCGAATCTGTTGGTCAATCATAGTCCACTTGTCAATTTGTGCATGTCATCCTTGCTCAAAGGCCATGCTAATATTCCCTGTATCGTTCCAAGTTGACGATCCGTGAAGGAAATTGGGCTTCACAGTAGCGACCTGATATGACCTTTGTCACCTGGCGAGCTGAGGCTGGTGTTTGGCTCTTTTTCTCACGCACAAAGACTGCGGCGCAGTCGCACTGCGCCGTTCTCTGTCCGATTTGGCACCTGCGAAACTCCGCAGTCCAACTCCCTGCCAATCCCTACGGGAAATGCTCATGTTCCGCGATGTCAAGTCACGTGTCACTACTCCATGGGCGTGCTTTCGCAGGAAAAGAAACGTGCTCGTCGGCACAGGGAGTCAGTGATGGGCACATCTCGTGCAAACAATGGAATCCGAATGACTCCGAGGCATGATGTGTCACTGTCCAAACACATCTAGCACAATTGTCACGACCACCAGTCGCACTCTTTACGCCAGGTCGTGGGCATTTGCATTGGCTTCTAAGGCGTCCACCTCACCCAACAGGTAGGCGGTCAGCCCGCTTTTTTGGTATGACAACGGCCTGGAACCTCCTGGCACTTGCAAAGGGAAAAGAACCTCCTACACGAGACATGCTCCAGAATTGCCAAGTCTGGACATCACATGTTTTGAGAGTTCGGAGATCAAAAATCTCGAGAGTGGGGATTGGGCAAAAGTGCACTACGCCAACAAGGTACTCTGGGGTCAATCAGCGGTGTTGTACTGCAATATCAAATCGCTATGGGTCAAACCGCGGGCCCACGAACAATGCGAACTGCAACGATGAATTGACAGAAGACATCAAACTACCACGTGCTTTGTCTGCTTGGTGGTGACCCATCCCCAAATAGACCAAATATGATGAAATATTCTATGTCTGCCATTGTGTCTCCATGTGATATCCAGACTTCATAGTTTCAATATCTACATGAAAGACACATTGTTAGAAAGTCTTTACCATATAGATTGTTAGAAAGACTTCACAATTACAATATAGAATAATATTGATTATATTTAGATTGTTATCCAATGACTTCACAGTCAGAAGTTGCCAGACCGCTAACACAGCAGCTTATCGCGCTGTGCCAGATGGCTCTCCAGCTAGAAGCCAAGAAGCCAAGCACCGCAGCCAAAGAAAACAGGTCACCAAGATAGCATGGGCTACATCTAGAGGAAAACCTGAATGACGAAGGATAATGAAGGGTGTTACAAACTAGACTCATCTTTTTCGCCGGCTCGATGCCTTCATAAGTCCATTGGGCAGGTGGGCCACGGCAGAATCTGGATAACTTTGTCTGCCTTCAAAGCAATCCACCTCCCTTCAAAGCAATCCGGTTCCACCGGGCTGTCTACCGCTGCATCCGTCGGTTCATTTTCCCACGCGTTGTCCGGCGTTCTTTTGGCACTTGCACCAATTCTTGATCTTGGCTTTGCCTTGGACCAGCCTTGCCCATGGTCTTGACGGGGCGCCAAACCTGTTGCTGCTCCACCCCTCGTTGCTCTCGCTGTCGCCAAACCAGCTTGCCATCACTTTCCGCCTTCGAAAGAGAACGGCGCACAACACACACAGTATCATTCTATCCAATTGGCACTGCTGAAAGATGATATTTGTTGAACGATTCTCCTCGTTGCCTGTCCAAATACCAAATGGCAAACTCAGTGTGTGAGCAAATGCCTGCAAATAAGGAGATGCAATGTGAATCACAGCCGGTATGGCCAAAATATCTCTTGTGTGAAGGCTGTGAAGGATGATCAAAAGAAAGCTGACGTGCTGGGTCAGTTTGGGATGGGGACCCAACTGGTGCATGTTGCGCAGCTAAAGCCTGGGAGCTCGGTGCACCCCACGACCATTCCTCTTGAATAGGGTTTTATATTATGGTTTTATGGATCCCAAGTTGATGTTATGAACTTTTTCAAAAAATTGACGTCCAGCCTTCCTCCCGTCCCTTGCTTCCCCGTCCGCCTCCGGCCGGTCCCGGTGCAACCTGCGGCGTCGGAAGCGCGGTGCGGCCGTCACCTGAGACATCGACGTCGGACGTGAGCGGGGGCGAAACCAGTGCGGGTCCCCCAAAAGCATCGCGAAAAGCCTGGTCCATCATGGTCCCCCACAAATGTGAAGATAAAGGCACGAAGCATTAAGGCCTCTGGTGCAACTTCTTCATGGTTGTGTGGGAAAGCCAGCAATACAAATCAGGGACTTATATTGACCAGCCTCATATGCAATTTGCGGAGCATTTCTAGCATGATCCCCACACCAGTTCCCGACAAAAAATAACTAAAGCATACGTTGAAATGAGGGCTCAGTAGGATGGGCAAAGCCCCTCAGGAATAATGGCACGATACTTGTATCTCGATCTTCAACAATTGGCAAGTTCGGAAGGCTGCCCAGGCTACTTTTTGTGATTAGGTGGGATGTAGCACCGACGTAGCACAAGGTATGTCGCTCATCTCAGGGAATTGTTTCAACTGCATTGTCAAGAATGAATTGATACAAATGAAGTACATGCGCACAGAAGGGAGCCTCAAAGACACCCTGCTTTCGGGGTTGGAAGCTGCTTCTGCCCGCCTTCTCACAGCTTTCCACATCATCACCATTGAACTCGCCTTCATGTTCTCTTAATTCCTTGCCTTCTTCTTGTCTGGACTCTTTCGAATCCTGTTCACTGCCTCTCAAATCTTCCTCACGTCGCATCTTCTCAGAAGCGGCAGAAGCCGCAGAAGCCTGAGCTTGCTGCTTCGCCTCTTTCGGCTCGTGGTCCTCGCGGTCCTCTGCATCACCACCCTTCTTAGGCTCCTGCGGCTCCTCTCTTTCCTGCAAATTTCCTTCCTGGATCACATCCTTCTCTTTTACCTCCTTGAATCGTCATTCGCTGCTCAAAATTATGCTGCAAAAAAGCTAGCGCAACTCGCAGCAAAAGAAGTAGGATATAATCTGATAAAATATGATAACTTATGACAAAATACTTCATGATGTGTCCAAAAAGAAAAGGAGCACTCAAGTGTCATGTGGATCGCAACGCTAGACCATCACTGCTCTTGGAACACATGTCATATGAGGTGCTTTTTCGGATGCAGTTTGCACAACACAAGTGCTTGGCAACACTTGCATACACTTACTGCGTCTCGTATTATGACCAAGACTCATTGAGCGAACCATTTCGGGAAGCCTGGCAGCAACTGTCAATATCACTTCTTCACAGGACAGCCTAACTTCAAGAAGATGTTTTTTGGGGGATTACGTATTAAGAGCAGGAATCTCTACTCTCTCCGTTTCTGGTTGCTCGCGATGTAATGCTATCTGTCTCTTCCTGGATGATTCCTGAATGAGGCCTTCGTCATCACGTCTGTCCGTGATACAATCCGACTTGCGTTCGAAGACGAAGCCGCGGGCTGGTGGTGGCTGGTGACAATTGGGCGAATAAAACGACATGATAATGCATCAACGAGCATCTGGCCGAAGCTCTTGGAAACGAAGTCCAGAATGCACATGCAGGAAAGGGAGGATGGAAGAACGGCATATTCTCTTTTACTTCTACCCACTTGAAAGGTTCAGCTTAGAAACAACCTGAAACCACGACGCTGATGAGAGCAAGGTTTGGGCCTCCGGAGAATCAGCAGTGTCAGTGCGCTCCTGGAACTAGGGAGGTGAAGCAACAAAACATCCACAACATTGAGCCCTTTGTCTGAAATGGTTTGGACAGTGACCTCAAAATGGCTTGGAGACTTTGGTGACCCGGTTGAGTGATCTCGGGCTCCGATGTCCACCATTCGGAAGGTTCTATCATGTACACTCGTGATTGTTACAAAAAAACTCTTTGGATTGTCAACCTATTCAAATTAATCAAGAGTCTATACATCTATACTAATTATACAAAACTTGCCTTGATTGAGGTCTTTTTCCTGGCTGAGCTACTTGCCTCCACACCCTAGCAAGAAGAAACACAAACCTGCTGAAACACTTCAGCCGACCAGTAACTTGTCACTGTCTGATGAGATGCGGACTGTTGTGCAATTCCATTGGGGTTGGCTACGTCAGAGATTCCAACGCATGCACAGTGGCTACGGCAAGATCTTTGTCGCAAGTACATGGGTCTCAAGACGCGCTTCGAATGCATTGAACGAAGTGTGTCTTGTTATCACTTAGACCATCTTCCCAAGTCACACACACAGAGACTCGGATCAAAAAAGAGAGAGAGAGATTAAAAAAAACAAAAACAATACAAGACAAGCAACTTTACATCGTCAGCTTTCCCAAAAAGCAGCGTCCGCCAGCCCACGGTCCCTCTCTTGGGTGGCCTGGCATGGCTTCACCAGGCCCAGCATGGCGGAGAGCGCAGCGGTGGCTTCTTTCGCTTCTTTCGCCTCAGCCTTTTGGATGCGGCGGCTCCTTTTATATGGTGGAGGTGGATGGGGGAGGTTATGGCAATTTCTGCTTTTGGATGGTGAATCCTTGGCCTTTGCAGGGTTTTGTGGCACGAAAAGTGCCTGCAAAAAAAAATAGATATTTAAACAGACAAGTCTAGAATAGCAGAGACTCCAAAGGAATAGAAAGTAAGTAGAGGTGTCTAGAGAAAAGTACTTTGAGATGTCTGACAAAACGCAGAAAAGTAGGTTTCTTGAGAAATATCTAGACAGTAGAAATCTAGTATTCTAGGGAGGTAAAGTGTTTTAGCAAAGTGATTCCAAAGATACCAGCAGAGACTTTGGGACAAGGTGATTCCACACAAAGATATATATATATAGAAAAGCAGAACATTCTAGACTACATAGAAAAGTATATATATATATGGTTCAAGAAAGTGTATAGAAGTTGAGATGTCCTGCATTGGCGAGTGGGAGCTCGTCATGTATTCCCATCAAATATGTCCCCTTGGGGGGACACCTCGGGGCGATCTCCTCGTACTAGCGCTGGGGTTTAGTCACCCGGGTTTGCAGAAAGTCACCCGGCCGCATGGAAACGCAGCATTAGTCAAAAGTCACCCGGCTGGCGAAAAGTCACCCGCTTTGTTAAAACACAATGTAAACGCTCTACGAAAGTATGTTTGTCAAAACTGCTATACATCAAGAATTCACTGCCCCTGTGCAGGAAAGAACTAGTTTTATGTCGAAGTTTGCAGCGTTTTGGTGACCGAACCCCAATCAGAACGCAAGGTTAGGACTATCGTGAATCGTGAAGATTAGCCCCTAAACATAGATGCTCTGGCCCGGCTCAATTGGATTTGAATGAGTCAGCGATTCCAACAGTCACCGGTCTGGCTAGATTGACTTAAATATATGAAATGAACTGTGTAAAACCATTTTTCGTCGGAAACATGGCTACACTGGCGCGAGTGCCGTGCGAGTCTTTTCGATCCTGAGAGGTATCCACCTACCCACGTCGATTATCTTCAAATCACTTTTTGGTCACCTTCCCTCTAACCTGCATGGAAACGCAGCATCCAAACAATGTTGTAGACCTAATGCTCTTCCAGTTATATTGCCATCTTGCATCTAACCCCAATGGAAACGCAACATCCAGACGACTTTCTACAAGACCAGACGACTTAACACAAGTGCTTGTAATTATCAGAAACTGGGTGTTGAATTAGGTTCCCAACTTCTTATTTCCAGAAACCCAACGTAACACCAGCCTCGGCCAGGTCCAACTGACTTGCTATCCACCCCACATCCACCCATGAGGTCAACATGTTGTCAGTCAACTGTCACCGTTCGGCACCTGATCATTGGAAGCTCCTGACTTTGGCCTTGAAAGTCGCTTGGCCGTCTGCGACGCAGCCGAAACAAACCACTGGTGCGACGCGAGCGACGCGACATTGGGGCCGGTCTCGACGCCCGGATCCACGACGTTCTTTCGCACCGGTGAGATCACCATCCGAAGCAGATTTGGACAGTCATGTTGTCTCCCTTCATTGGAGACCATGAGAACTATGATGGAGTAATTGTGCTGCCTTTCATAGTGCCTTTCGTAGGGCCACCATGGGGCTGCGATTCTGGCTCCCTTCCGTTTCTCTTCGCCTCTCCGATTTGGGAGGGATGCTCTGCAGCCTGACCGGGTCCGCATCGGGTTTCCGAGGTCCGGGTCAGACAAGAAGGGATTGATCGAAACGGTTTTCCCATACATGTTTTGAAGAGAGATCTACTTACTGTGGTAGGATCCATTTTGAGGTTACTGCCGGGTTCCCGGTATGTTTTCTGTCGGCCTTGACTTGTCCAATCTTGTCCAAACAATTCAGACTTCAACCCTGACCAAACACATACACTGGTCGTTGACACAGGTATGAAAAAGGACCTTCTTAAGACCATCTTCCTCTACAAAGCGGCTGTGTTCCATGTCTATGTTGATGACCTGTGGTGTAGCCTTTTCACACTGTAATTGTTCAACTTCGGAACCTTGTGCTTGTTAGCTTGTTGCTTTACTACATGTTCTGCTGCTGCTCGGTTCCGTTGGTTCAACATCGCCTCCCTCGTCTGTTTCAGACTCTTGCTTTCTATCTCACCCACTGATGCACTCACACTGACAGAACTCCCTGTGAATCAAGAGGACGAAAGAGCCAGGCATGGACTCACACAGGGTTGCATGCTTAAGCAGCAGCCAAGATACAAAGGTGGTAGTTGTAGAAGGGGCTCCTGCTTCTCCAAAGCTGGATGCTTGGCAGGAGGCGGTTGCAGAAACACCTCCAGAATACAAGGCGTGGCTAAGCCCACATCGCCAAGGTGGCAAAATGCTGGAAGAATAAAGTCTCATGCAGACTGAGAGTTGAAGTAACTGAGACAAGTGACTGAATGTCAGGCGCACCCGAAAAAAGGCTCACCAGATGCTTTCGACACGTCAGTTGTCGGTTGTTTCGAACTTGAAGCATTGGCAAATGTACGGCAAATTTAGTTTAATTTAATTCTACGAAAACTTAATTCTAATTACTAATTCTTGTCTCTACTAGCTTCTTGTTCCTAGTAGTAAGGCCCTTGCTCCTAGTAGCGAGGCCCTGGCCCCTAGTAGCGTCCTTGTTCCTAGTACAAAGCTTCGCGTCTGGACCACCTGGGGCCAATGGCTTGGAGCTTGAGACCTCAAGCAGGATGCAAGTGGCTCACAAGGGCCCTTCTGGACACAGAGTCACAAGAGAAACTCCTAAAAAGCATGTGTGGAGAAAAAGGATAAAACATTATAGTATTCAAAAGAGTGTAACTCGGTGGCTAGAAGGAACCGGTACCGGCCGGTTCCACTCTACCTGATCCATCTTGATCCTCTTCCACTGACAGTCATGTTCTTCCGAGCCATCTAGGACAGGGCGGCAACCCATGCTGAAAACACCGACGGGGTGAAGGTCCCCAACTTGCCAGTGGCTGACGGACCATTTTCCCAAGCACAAGCAGTTTCATGCAGTTTCCATGCTGAAGTGATGCTTAACCATGATTCAGTATGTAACACGCACGATCTGCGGGCCGTGCTGGGCCGTGCTTAAGGATGATAGGTGACAAACTTCCTTATACTGACACTGATACTGTACACTTGATATGTCTCTAGTGTTGTAGTCCAAAAGCGCTTTGGGCGACTTGCAATCCAGAATCGGTTTTCTGCTTGCATCCCAGCAGCTGTGATACACCTGGCAAGCTTGATTTTGGTGATTACACAAGCAAATGGGTTGGAAGCGCTTGTAGTGACTATAGGCAAGCGATTGTTGATTCGAAGAAAAGGTATGGTAACGCGGGACCAACGCTCGCTGCAATCACCACCGTTCTGCAAGCAAAAAGTGCTTCATGAAGTAAGCCTTCGCCGTCTAGAGCAGCTTCCAAATTCTTTAACAAAACCTTAATCGTTTGTCATTCAACTGAAATGTGTTGCTTGAGGAATGTGAGCAGGGAAGGGTTTCCAGTGTGTAATGGTGCAGTAGGCTGGTCCGACAAAGCAATTGCTGCCCACCTTCTTTTGGCTTTTGAAGCAAAGCCTTGCGTGGAGGACAAGTATGAAACTCACTATATCTCACTATATACATTCAATAGTAATACAGCAGCAATACAATAATGATGTTCTTCAGCTGTGCTTCTAACCCTTCCACCAACAAGTTGGATCCACAGGGCCCGGCTTTCTGCTCCTGCTGCTGTTGCAGAACCTGCCAGCGCAGCTGCATACATTGATACACCACGAACAACGATGTCTTCTCCGTTCGATGGCAAACTCCGAGCTAGTTAGTCCAACAAGAATGTTGCAGCATTGCTCCAGTTGCCTGCTGGTGAGAGCACAGTTGCTGGTGTCATGCAAGAAACTACCAACAGTTGGAACCCTCAATTTACATGTTTCTTTTGCAAAAGACACGTACGCCGTATGCATGGAGCATCTGCAATTTTCTGCAGCCGATGGCTCCATGAAGGCATCCACTTGACCAGAACCTCTGGCAACCGGAACCTTCGTTCGGTTCGCTCCTTCCGGAACCTGGTGGAACTTTCGTGCCGAAACTTGAGAGGGTCCCTCTTTTAAACCAAAAGATACCCCCCACGGTAAAGGAAAATAATGGAAAACTGGAAAACAGTAGCCACTGAGGCTCCAGGGCTCAATTGTGGGCGGTGCCAGCCCGTGGCGAGATGCACCAGTCGCTTCTCGGGCAATGCTCTAGTTCTTGGGACCTAGTTCTTGGATGCCTTCTTTCAGCTCTGTCCTTTCACTTCTTTGGTTGCGATCTTGGGATATGTGATTTCTTCTTCAACAAAATTGCGATATTGGAGAGAGCCGGTGGCCCTTCAACGGCAGGACGAGATGTCGAGTCAAGCGGTGAGTCGATAGCCCTACACGAAGATACACGAGGCAGCTTTCTTGGGTGTGTCCTTTGTTGTCTTATTGTGGCAATTTGAGCGGATGGCGCCTCTTTGTTCCATGTGTGAGTCTTCAAGACTTGGCCTTGTGCAAGGGCAGTTCTGTCCCTGATTCTACGGCGAAGGCGGAACCTTTAGCCATCACCTTGTGGACATGATGCTGTGAACAAACTGATGTGCAGAAGGCATTGAGTTTGTGAGCAATCAGCCGAATCAATGAGTCACTGAGCTATATACATTATGCGTCCATGAGCTACATTGTTGGTGATCCATTCACGGAGCATTTCGCTGAAGAGCTGAAGAATTTCGGTGAGCTAAGATGAAGGGCGCTCTGTGCTTGGTCACTTGTTGGGCGGGGCTCAACACATATCTCCTCCACATTCTTTGACATTGAGATCCCAAAAGGGAGCGCAACTCGCGCAGTGAATGGGTACAGGAACATAATCTTCCAGCACGGGGAGTGTACTGTTGGGGAACCTGGGATTGGAAGACGTCCAAAGTCTAAGACTACGCACAGGAATCTTCCAATGGGCAGCCGCCTGACTCGCATTAAAGGATCCCATCGCAGTTCCGCCAAGATTGAAACATGTGATCCATGTGGAAAAATAGAATGCGTTGGACCAATCGCAGTTCGCCAGTTCCACATGTGGGCTGTGCATTATATTACGCTCTTTGGTGTTTGAATACGATGGTGACATTTGAAACCTTTCAGATCTGTCTGAAATTCTGCTGGAACCTCCTAGAACCTTCAGGTGTTTATCCAAACCTTTGTTGAAACTCTTGTCTGGAACCTTCAACGGGAACCTTCAGATCGGTGGGTGCAGTCACACCGTAAAAAATTATGAAGAAAACACGGCCAAGGACAGTTTTGTGCCTGGCAAGGTTAGGGCCAGGTCTTGGATGCAGAATACCCCTTTCCAAAGAGCTTCCCAGCTATGGCTATGACGATGACGAAAAAAAAAATGTTCTCGGTCTCTTGGCGCCTGTTGAAGGAGCTGCTGCTGCATTCCCTGGCAAGAGCGAGCGGCGCGCCAGTGCGTCAAGTTGGCGAACAGGAGGAACACCATCAAAGTCTTACATCTTTGAAGCATTATAATACTCTCTGTTGTGCTGATATCTCTACAAGTGCAAGGGGAAGACTGAGAAGAGAGAGAGAGAGAGAGAGAGACAGAGAGGCACAGAGACACAGGAAGCTTGATCGCTCGTGAATACACATACGTATGTCAGTCGCGCAGTAGGAGCTTTGATATGTCAAATGTGTGGGCTTGTGGGCAAGTGTCAGAAAAGGCTTTGTGACTGTTTGCCTATGAGGTGATCAACACGATGAACAATCGATCAAAACCTGTAATTAGCTGGTGTATCATCAGACGAGGTGCATCAGAAACTCCTACCGTGATGATCAAACAGTTGTGTGTGTGTGTGTGCGCGTGTTTATATTGCTGTCAGGGGATCACACTCCAATCCGCCTCAGCTCCTGCAACTGACAGAGTGGAAGAGCGGAATTGATGAGTGAAACAGGGAGATGTCGAGTGGAAGACCGTCGTTTATTGTCTGTGACCGTCGTCTAACACTACCCTGGTGACAGTGCGGGACACTCAAGCAGAATATGTGCGGGGTTGTACAGTTTCATAATATTTTATAAAGCTTTACTATGTTTACTATGCTCGGCTTCACCATATTTTACCTCTCACTTTCAGCTACATGATGCCCGGCATGTTATGATTTGTTCCCAATATAAACGCTGCTTCCAAGAAGTCACTAGGAAGTCAAACCCAAGTCCCGTTCTAAACCTTTCTAGACCACTAGACATAAACATCCGCCCCTAACATTGACACGCAAAACTGAGTTGCAAGGCTTCTGCGAAGATGTGAGCTTTGTCTAAACTGTTGGGGGGGCACCACTTCTACAAAAGACTGTCTGAGGCTATATACATCCTAGAGCTGGTCGCGACTTTGTCAAACGCCACTCCCAATCTGCTCACATCCCTACATGCAAATTGATCAATAAATGAACACAGGGCAAAACAAACCGTACGTCGTCCCTTGATGGCTCTGTCTCCATCTATCGGTCCCTGGCTGTTGCCTGATGATACTGCTGCTGCATGGCCAGTTGCTGAATCTGTTGTGCAATAGCCATCTGAAACCTGCAAGTTCAGTGCGCAAACAGCAAATTTTGACTTCGCGCAACACGTCCTTTTTCCAGCAAACGGCGATAGCACATCCTGACAAATGCAGCCCCCATATTGAGAGCCTTTTGGGAGAAGGGATCTTTGCCCTCACGTGAACAACTAGTTCAGCATAGCTCACCCAACTTCAGCTTGCCTCCTATTCATCCTCCTCCTCCTGACTTGTCAAGGTTCCAGCTGTGCGTCAAGAAAATAAGTAATGACTGAATTTTGCAATGTCCTAACTAACATCATATTCTTGCCGTTTTCTCACACAGCACATGCTTCCTGCGCCCCCTTCCCAGATCCCTTTGCGACTGGAGCCCGCGGATCATGGCCCTGAGCAGGAGGGCGAAGCATTCAGAGCCCGAAAAAGACCAACACATGACTGCAAGCAAGGGCCAAAAAATTGCCTGTGCTAGCAAAAAGAAACTCCTAAACCACCACAAAATAGAACATATATATACACGGTCAACCGCCAGGCCAAGAGCAGGGGGCCCCAGATCCAAGAAGGGGCCCAGATGTGACCAGGCTGACCGCAAGCAAAAATAAATGATGAAAGACAATTATTTTTGCTAAGGTCCACAACAAAGAAAAAAGTGGAGGGAAAGAACGAAAAGAAGAGAGTATATATACACAGTATACTGTATATTATAGAGAGAGAGAGGGAGGGAGAGATTCACAAAACGAGTCTCGCGGGTCCTCGGGTCCAAAAACGACAACTATACGACTCCAACGAGCTCTTTACCATCTTTACCGCTCTAGATATACATTATTGAAACTCATTAATTATTGTTATACTGTTATACATCTTTCAATTCTCCCAATGTTGATGCTTCTGATGGCATCTCTTCAGCTCTATTTTCCCGTCACTGGGGTCTTTTCGCTCTCACCAAACTCATCGAGCTCCCTTTCCACGAATCTCAAACGCACGAAATTTGCTCCAAATTCATCACCCTTGTCAAGGGGTCCAAATGCCCAAAAGACCATGAAGAAAGGTGAAATACATCCATGTCTGGCGATGTGGCTTCCCAACATGCCATGCGAAGTCAACCACGAGTTGCCCATTCTGTTCATGAAGAAATATAGAAACTAAATGAGAATTGGCCAGTCAAAGACTTCTTGTGGCGGAAAGACTGACGTCCAAGACACATAAGTCTCCTCCAGCTCGTCTCTCTCCTCCTTGGGATCTGGTCGCCCTTTGGGAGCCAAGGCCTGAGCCGATGGGTCCAACAGGAGTCACAACAGGTCGCATGTGTAGCGTCCGATCGCTCCGTTCGTAGCGATGCCAGGAGCCAGATGTGTAGGTATTATTGGCCAATATCTAAGTCGCATACTCTAGTATTGGCTACAAATATCTAAGTCGCAGATTGATTTTGTCGATGATCCTTGAAGTGGAACCCTGGCCTCTGTTCATATAAGTCATCTTCTTGGACTCCAATGTTCATTCCAGGCTTCGACTATAAACACGCTAAGACTCTAAAATGAAAAAGTATAAAAAAGAATAGCAGGTCGTTGCATAGCATTGCGTTCGAGCTGGGTGTTGAGTTCTTGCAAGCCAATATCATCCAATGCTACAGTAGATAAGTCAATCAAACTGCATCGCACCCGGCTTTGGCAAGAAGTATCAAGAAGTCGACCAATGCGCGTGAAGTCTTGTGAAAACCGTTGTTCTTAAAATGAGCTCACACCACTCCACAGTGTCTTGAAATTGCCAAAGGCAGCTCAGCAGCCGTTCCAATGATTGAAAGAGCAACTGCCAGTGCCGGAATGGAGAGAAAGTACATGCGGTAATACCTTCATTTGGCCCAAATAGAGAAAAGACACATCTATAGTAAAACCGTAGTAAAAAGAGCCTGAACGATTTGTGTACAGTTGCCCGTTTAGTGTCATGGTGGTGTCGAATAAATGTCTGACACGTTTCAAACCGGTGCCTGAAATTTGAGTCTCATGGTTGGTCTTAAACCGCTCCTTGAGGCTGAGGTGTACAGCAACTCAACTTCCCACTCGGCCGAAGGCTGCATGCTGATCAGTGTTCTACAGTGTTGCTCTTCTGAGTATTTGCATCATGTGTGAAATCCGGTCCGGTTGAAAGACCAAGGGGTATGTAAGGTGCAGCAAATGAGGCATCCACAAGCGAGGAAGCTCCAAAACCAGCGGTATTTCTCAACGATGCGTGCTCCTTCGGTCAATGATCGGTTGAGCTTTTTCTGGTTTGTGTATGTGCTTCACACCTGGGGTCAGCGGTTGGCCTGACACCTACAAAAAGAGGTCAAAAACAAAAGTGGAGAGACTTCCTGGAAAAGCTGTTGCCTGGATGTGCCCAGTCACCACAAGTTCTCCATCAGCGATGGCTTGGGCTCATCATGCTCATGGTCCACCTAGGTTTGGTGTCACTGTGTCCCTTTAAATGCTGACGCAAGGGAAAGGCACGGTGCAGCGCTTTGGTTGGCGCAGTCGCAACCTGGTGCTTTAGACACAAGAAAAGAACGCCACCGGTCGTGCTGTTTGGCCCCCTGAAAGCGGCCGCTGGAATGGTGGTACGGCGACGGGAATGGCTTTCTCCACATGGCTCCACAATGCGTCCCAAGGTGGGCACAGCGATTTCGTTTTTGCCCTAACACAGTGGCTTGGTGCCCTCAAAACCCCCGGAAGAGAACACGAACCCGAAACTGGCAAAAAAGATTAGACGACATTAAACAAACATATAAACTTTTCGGGCAAGTTGCAAACTTGATGTCCAGCAGGCTGAGAAAGTTGTCTGACATTTGAATGAACCATAATGAACTGAAGAGGAACACTTCAGGTGGATTGTTTCTCAAAAACTTGTGCCCTTCTTCCCATCTCTTCACCCCCTCTCTTCCCTGTCAGGTGACATCTGGGGGATCTCCAGTGTCCTCATCCTCCAATTACGGGCACAGCGGCACGACAAGCTGACCCTTCAATACAGTCCATAAGTGATTCAATGCCGGGACAAAACCTGAGTTTAACTCGATTTGAGGAGACACAACCATTGACTGTCATTCACTTAAGTCTATTGTGAAACTGTTAAACTACGTCAAACTACATGAAAGCCAAGTCACCTGTCCTTGAGAGCATCTGCTACAGCCTTGCCGGCACCTTCATCCTTGCCCGCTTCCAACGAATGGCTTGCTTTGTCCTGGCAACGTTTGACACGACTAGCACAGGCCGCCTCACCTCATGGGGAACTACGTCCGGGAAGTGTCATCTGGTTGTACAAAGGGGGACGATTGTTTGGGGCAGCACCAGAGCACGTTCAGAAAGCATCAGACTGAGGTCATGTTGAAAGGGTGAAAGGCCCCGTGGAGATTCCATGGACAATATCTCTGGCACTGGACCCCGAACAACGATAAACAATGATAAACAACGTGTGTTCCAAGACCCACCACACAGGAGCTTCCAGATGATGTAGCATGGGAGAAGGTTTTAGATGAACCTGTGTCTCGCTGCCGACAAGAGCAAGGAGCTTCCATCTTCCATTGGACGAATGTTGGAGAAAGGACTAGTCAGCTAGGTGGCGAGACAACAAGAGAAACGAGGAGAGAAGAGAGAAGCTACAAAGGACGGACAAGGTTCGTCCAGCAGAAACTCGGATTGACTCCTGGTATGTCGCATTCTACAGTGATGAGAGCCGTTTCCAACCGGTAATGGAGGCTGGAAGAAGTTTTCTGAAAACCCCATAGACATAAAGGCAAAACACAGTTGAAAAAACAAAAACAAACGCATATGTTTTGACCAAGGTATAAAATGTCTTATTACCTACCATGACCCGCTTAGGAAACCTGCACGGGTATATAATAGAAAATAGAAGGCAGCCTGGAGATCGAACAATGGAAAAGTACCGCCAGAAGGATTCCATCGAATCGGTGCAAAGCGGAGCGCAGCACCTTCAAATCGTGCAACTGGTTCGAAGCGCTGCTCGCAGCAGAGTCTCCAGCATCTTGCAAGGCCTGAGCTTCCGCGCGAATGCTGCAACCAGAATATGCATTCTATATATATATATATACACAATATATAACTATATACATGTTTATCTGTATGTGTATATATATATATGTTGGGTCTATCTTATTACCTGTAACAGTGGATGATGATGGTTACTAAAGGCCTTTCTTTAAAATAGTGATAATTGGTTGCTGACTGTTGCAGGTCACAGGACAGACCCAATGTATATGTACAGTTTGCAGCAAATATGCTTAGGAGTTAGCCTCATGTTGTGATCATGTGTTTCATCATCTGTTGACAATTCCTCCAGAAGAATGAATGAGAATCAAAGCTTCAGCTTGGACCATAATACCTGACAAATTCATGTTGTAAGAAGACGCTCTCAAACTTCAGGATTCAGGGACTGAACTGCCGAGATGCCTGTGACAAAGGGTCCTCGGCTGTTTCCTCGCAAAAACTATGCCATGTCTCTCAACGCGGAAACCTGCCTAGGGCCTAGCCGATCCTGTGATTCGATGTCGTGTGCTGTTTTCCCATCCGAAACGACATTCCTGCTGAACAGTCCAGAACATGGCTCTACCTGAACTTCCGTTTGATGCCTTTACGGGGAATTGAAAGGTTTCCGCAAAACTCGAGAAGCTGAGGACTTTCTGCTGCCTCCGCAGTGGTCTCTATATATCTCCATCTATCTTCTACCTAAGCCCCCAAGAATGGTTCCGCAATATGGGAAAACTGGCCTCTTCTTTCTCTGCTTCTTGGATCTCCATAGCCTCTTGGCCCTGATTGAAGCGTGATCACCACGGCGATCGCCAGTCCATCACAGCGGACGACAACAGAAATCCAAGAAAATTGATGCTCGATAGTCCTCTATGTTCGGTTCTTCAGTCCGTATCTGGCGGTCCGTGGCGAAAACACCGCTGCCAAACCTTTTTCCTATCTAAAAACACTCTGCTGTTGGGCAAGAAAATAGCCAGCTGGCCACAGGACACCTCAGAGAGCTTTGCCATAAACTTTGTTAATGTTTGCCCATAGTCCGGGCCTCCGGTGGTCTGACTCGTGTCTCCTCCGCGTTTGGAAACCAAGCAGCAAAGCCTGCCAAACAGGCTGTGCACAGCAATGGACTATTATATCTTCAATTGGATTCTTGAATCTAGAATGCATCACTTAGTGAAAAGGAACGGAAACCCGGTTCTTCAGGATGATTTCGTTTGCAGCATGATCCCACCAAATTTGTCCTCTTTCAATGCAAAATACGACAAAACCACCAACAAACCTGGCCACTTCCGTCAGCTCCCGTTTGTCCGACCCCGATCCGGCCAACCTTCCGAGCGCACCCGCATAGCACGTGGCCCCAGTGCGGCTGGATCGCCATTCTGCAGGAAGGTACTGGCCTGTGCACTTGTGCAATACTATATTATAAAGCTACTGGTAGCTTCTTGTTACTAGTAGCGATGGCCTCCACCTAGTAGCTTCTTGCTACTAGCAAATGTGCGAAGACACTCCGCAGAATCGTCCTTTGCACAGTGTGCGCGTCGAAATCAAAAATGTCCTGCTTCAGCAACCTGGTCCTGGCTTTTCCCTGTTCAAGACTTCCCAAAAGCTTCGACACCTCATGGCCCTCGGATGCCCTGAAAAACCCGACTGCTCCGTTGGCACCTTTCGTGCTCCGGCACCGTGGAGCACCAGAGTGTTGTCGCTCACCTGAACCGGTCTCAAGTTCTCAAGCACCATGGTGACCGTTTCCACTTTCCACACAGGTTCCAACCGTGGAGTCCGTGGAGTTCTGTTTTTGGCCGTGTCAGGCGTGTCTCAGAACCTTGGGGTTGTGATGATTCACCAGTTCACACAGGTCTTCTTGCATGGTGGGATTTCTTGTCTCAACCGATCTCAAGCTTCAAGCAAACTTCTTCAAGTCCCGAGTCCGAGGACGCCTCGTTCCAACGGTCGAGTCCAGGCATGGTGCAGAGCGTCACAAACACGATCCAACAACCTTCTGGACCACTGTACCAACGGATCGAACTTCAACTACAGTAAGTGGTAGCTATTCTGCTGGGAGCGTAGTCGTTGCTAGACTGATTGCTTCAGGCAGCTTTCACCTGATCTCCTAACAGTCATCTGTTTCACGCTGCCGCTTCCTCCGCTGGTGAACCAACGGAACCTGTTCAATAAGTAAAGAGCTGGAAATGGCTGGTGCAGGCACAAGCCGTAAAGAGCTGCAAAACCGTTGGCTGGCAAAAGACATGAAGCAAAAACACAAATGACATCAAGCATAAGCATACAAGCAGGCGAAACCATCTGGCGCACCTTTCCAGCACTCCTTGCACCTGAACAACCACCTGGCACAACAACTTCTGTCATGATCTTGATGGCGATATGATGTATGACTCACTATATATTCTGTTGTGTCTACGAATCAGCAACAGGGCGCCACACTTAACCTCATGGAGCTTGACTCAACTCAGACCTCGAAGGCCACCACTCGCTTCGCTATCTTAGCTCAACTAAATGGTGCCGATTATGTGAAGCGCAGGCCACTTCGCTTCCTCCCCTTCCCAGCCGATAAAATCGCCTGCATGCTCAGCATCTGGGTGTCCTCCCAGGCCTGGCGACGGTCGTCCTACCAGTCGTGTGAGAGGAGTGTCCTTGGACACACCCGTGTCAGGATGGATGAAAGATGATGGAAGCCAACCCAACAGATACGGGTACGGTATGGGTCAGTATGGGTGAGTGAAGCAGAGAGGCCAAGGCACATAGACATAACTAAAGCAGCTTCATGGATACAAAGTGTTGTGAAAAGAAACACATCCAAAATCCAAGTCAGAACCAAAGAGTGGTGAGATGAAACAAATGGAGCAAAGGATTGTGGTCAGGAGGTGCGAGGTGAGAGGAAATTGCATTGGAAGAGAGCTACATATGATTCTACTCCGCTATACTCCACTGAGATTGGGTCTGATGAGACAAGGTGAGGAGTCACGGTTTCACTATTACAAGTGATTCGTGGAGACCTTATCTCTCTGCAGTCCTCAAAGAAGTATTATGCAACACCTACCTTCCTCATTTTGCAGGTTGAGAAGGCATCCCTTTCCCCCTTCCGGAAGGTATTGAAATGAATGTCAATTCACGTGCCTTCAACTTTGTCTGTTGTGAAATCAATCCTTACCACCTCCCCTCTTTAGGTAAACAAGACTCAGACTTTGCAGGACTCGTTTGTTCTGAGTTTCATGCTTGCTGCACTTTACCCACGACAACCAAGGCTAGCACGGCAGCCCCCTTCTCCTGCGCCCTTGGGTAACACGAGCACATGCAACGGGCATGCTTCACCGGGAATGGCTTATGCCCTTCAGGACTTCAGAGTCAAAATCAAGCAAAATGTCAGCGTTCTTGCTACTAGTAGTAAGGCCAGGAGCCCCCAGTAACGTTCTTGCACCTAGTAGCGATGCCCTTTGCTCCTAGTAGCTTCTTGTTACTATCTTTGTTTCATCATAACCCAGCAATTTGCAAGTCTCTCTCCCAGCACAAGTGCTTTTTGTTCCCTGAGCAGGAGATGTAGGACTATGTCTTGTCTCTGCCTCGGAGCACTGTCTGCACTCAAGCACTCCCGGACTCCCCAAATTCACCTTTCACATCCAATAATATATGGATTTTCAGTCCTCGACCCACGTGTTGACTTTGGACCGAGTGACTGTATCCATCCGTCTGGGGCAAGCTCAGGTCAAGAAGGACCTGTCATGATCCAGCAATCGATCGTGTCACACGCGAGACGCGTCACGTGAAACATCCAGACATGAAGTGCTCAGGAAGAGACCAACATGACCAACCAACGTGCAAGAAAATTCAGGAATAATCTTGATCAAGTATGTGTTGAACTGAGAAAAAATGGTGCAGCATCTCTCTTGAGCTTGCAAAAGGAGTTGTACAACCCCGTCTTGAAAGCCACTAGACAAGTGAGGCACTAACTTTAGTATGGCCTTACTTCCACGTTGCAATCCAATTCAATATCATTTCAATATCTCCTCGAATAAGGAAACTGAAGGGAATGCCTCGATCTGTCGAATCTAAGATAAGTATTGATGAGTCGCATGCTTCTCCCTATGATTCAGGCCTGTCGAAACCGCTGGAGCCCCATGTCATATTTCTCAGGCGAAATGACGTAGGACAAGCGAAAGTAGGGTAAAGCTTCGCCTCAGGGCGATTGAGGGTACAAGCTAGTGAACTAGGGAAAAGCTGCATGCATCTCCACTTACATCCCACTTACCCCACTTATATTATATACATCCCAATTACCCCCCAAGTCCAATTTCAATGGCTTGGCAGTTTCGCAACTCGAGAATCAATCGTGCGCAGCCTTGGGCCGCCAGATTCACTTCGCAAGGCGGAACTCATCAGACTGTCCAAAGAAAGGCACGAGCCGTTCCCCGAGGCATCCCAGCTTGCCTGTTCGCACTGGGGAGCAAAAGCCCCCAGGCATTGGAACAATCTTGTGCCGAGCCATGCCTGAAGAGACACGGGGTGGAGAACTAGGGACGCCAGCTGTACAGAGCTGCCAAAGTACACCCTTTCTTGCTGATGGGAGTAAAAAACGCTGCAAAGATCCGGAAAGTACAAACATGTGTCCCAGAGAGATTAGAAATGATTGGAACATGATGCTCTTTGCTAACCACCCACCCACCCACGCACGCACGCTCGCTCGCTCGCGTCATTTGACATTTCGTCCTATTCCTCACAACACTTTTTTGTTACTACTAGTAAGGCACTTGTTACTACTAGTAAGGCACTTGTTTCTACGCATCACCAAACCCCCAATGAATGTGATGCAGCAGGGTCAAACAGCATTGTGCGCCGTTGATGTCTCAATAACCCCAGACAACGCTGCCGTTCAAAACTGCCCTGCCCAGCAAGAGTCTTGTGTTTTGCATGTGTACACGCATGGCCTCATGTTGAGGGTACCCTTTGTGTCGCTGAGCAAAATTCTCCCGCTGAGGCTCCCTGCTTTCCAACAGCTCCTCCAAAGTAAACCTTCGAGGCCGCAGCATTCGCAGCCACAGGAACATCCCCGCCTGACCAGCAAAATATGAGAGCGTGAGCTTGTTGTGTTTTGTTGTAACCCTTTCCAAGTCTTGTAGCATTTCTGGCATGATCTCTTTGTGAAAAGTAAAGCGCGCCGTTTTGGACACCTCGGTTTGGGCCTGTGTTCACAGCGTGATGCTAAGTGCATTCCAGTGTGCTATGTGTCTCTAGGAATTTGCTGCTCATCTAACACCGCCCTTATAGCATCTGGAATGCAATGTGTGCATGGCTTCATGGTTCGTACTGTGGCGCTGTTGGCCAGGCGCCCACATCCTTCATGATGGTAGCACGTACTTGTCCTTCCCATGTGCCAGTGTTGTCTTTCTAGGGTGAAACGTGTGTTCTGCAGCAACTCAGTCATCTGCTGCTTTGCTTCGTTCTCGGTTTCTTTTGATCTCTTCTTCCACAGCTCGGCCACTTCCCAAGCCTTGGCAGTGTCTTCTGCCATTCTCTCCATCTCCATTGCTTTCTCATCATCTGTTCCGGCCAACCTGATGGCCTTTCTTTTGGCTTCATCTCTTTCTTCCTTCACATTCTCCAGCTCGAAGCGCAGCTCAGAGCACATGTTGTACATGCGCACCACTTCTCTTGCTTGTAGATCTCGATCTCGTCGGGCATCTGTCAGCTTCTCCTCATGCTCAGCAATGGCTACTTCCAAACGAACGATTTGCCACTGCATGTTGACTTTTTCTTCATCTTCATTTTGCCAAAGGTGTGCCCTTTGAACCTCATCTGTGTTTGCCTCATTTCTCACAAGCGGTCTTGCGACCACATTCACAGCTCCTTCATTCTCATTCTCCTCGATGGGCTCTTCATGGAAGACGAACTCATGGCCCCAATGGCCATTCGTGCCAGGCTCAAGGCCCCAATGCTTGCCAAACAGATCATGGTGATCAGTGGCCGAATCCACCAAGCCTCATCACTTCCATCTTCACCTTCTTCTGGGCGCTCGACTTCCGCTCCTTGGCCTCCTTGTAGCAATGACAAAGCGATCACCAGGGCCACCTTAGCATTTGCACCCATCATCTTTGCCATCTTTCCTGTATTCTTCTTCAGCTGCTCCTTGGCCTTTATCTCTTCATATTGCTGCTTCCCAATCTTTTCGTCATCCATGTCGACCATCTTGATCAGGAATTTCAGGCCACTCATTCTTGCCCTGCTCAAAATCTTGGTTCCAATGTCGCTGGTGTTGACGGCCTGTAATCCTCAACTCCTTTGCAACCACTTTCTGTTGAAGCCACAACAAACCAGCTGCAATGTGGCGTGTACGCCCCACTCCAACTCGACCTGCAAGAGCCCGAGCCGCTGATGAATCACTCCGGCAAATCATGCCCAGGTCTTCGTTGGTCAGGAACTTCCAGCAGTGCTTCAGAAAGAGTCCTTCACTGCATCCACCGACCATGGCCACATACTCGCTTTCTCCTGACGAGAGTGCAATGGCTCTTTGACTTCTCACATAGCTCTCCAGCAAGCACCCATCCAGGTAGATCTGGACTGAACTGACACTCTTCCTTGTGTCTCGCTGGCCTGCGTAGTCGGCGTCACACACCACCTCCAGCATGCTCTTCTTCTCTTCATTGAGATCCCATTCATAGATGTTGTCATCATCATTTAGCATGCTTCTTCCTCTGGGTCCGTGCTCGGGACCGTGCTCGAACAACAGTCCTTCGTCCATAGTCCCCAGGAGATACGAACTCACGTGTTGCATGGCTTGCCAGCTCTTCTTTGTTGGCTGTTGCATGAAACCAGCTAAGCCCTGGGCAACATACTGGACGTCAGGACGATCAGGGGAGATGTAGAGCAGCTTTCCCGCACAACTTCGATACTTGGTGATGTCCTCATACTTCATGGGCTCATCATCTTTGCTCAGTCGATTGAAAGGTTCCATCACCAGGGGTCGTTCGATGCTTCCGGTGCTCCACATTGGTGAGTTTGGCCAGTTCCTTGATGTGTTGCTTGTCTGGCCTGATGGTGATGCCCTTCTCAATCAACTCCATCTCTCGCTTCAAGTAACTGAAGCTCCCCATGTAGAGTGGACCTCGCTTCTCTGTCTTCCAGCCTTTGATTCCCATATAGCTGATGAAACTCTCCACTTCCAGCTCATCGCCAACCAGAAGTAAATCATCGACATGGATTGTGAGGTATAGCTTTCCACCTGTCTCACTGCCTTTAGGTGCTTCTGGCTTCTTCATCATGGTAGGCTGCATCGTGTCTTGCACCAATCCAAACTCTGTTGCAACCTTGCAGAAACCCTTGAACCATTGGGCGGCAGCATTTCGTTGTCCAGGTAGATTTCGCTTCAGCCGGCATGTACCATTTGCAGTCACCACCAGCGCTTTTTCGTCTTCTGGCTGGTCCATCAGCAGGAATGCATCTTTCACGTCAAGAGTGTAAAGCGCCAGTCCACTCTTCATCTGCCGTCGAAGGAGCATCCTCACGATCACTGATGCAGATGTTGGTGCGAAGGCATCTTCAGTAAAGACTGACCACTTAAACTGCCTTCCAACCAACCTTGCTCTCCTGAACCAGCCTCCTTTCTCGTCCCTGTGCTTCCAGGTGATGACCATCTTTGATGTCAGCACATAGGATCCTTCTTCTGCTTGTTCATTCTCCTTCAGCTTTTCGAGGACGCCCATCTTTTCCAGCCTTTCTTCTTCATGCCTGCATGCTTCAGCATCCAGCATTGCTAGCTCTTCCTCATCGACTTCAGGTGGCTTGCCAATTCCTTTCTCCTCGCCTTCATCTTCACTGATCTGGTTGAGCTCCTCTTGCAAGATAGCTCGTCTCCACCTGGAAAATCTTCTTGGATGCTGTTCACTCTTCGTTTCGGACTCATCCTCCTCTTTTCAACATCCTCGTCATCCCAGGGTAAGGCGTACTCTCTTTTCGTGCCCAATGGCGGGGTGACTGGTGCCAGATTGCCCACAATCTCCTCCAACCTCTGCTTCTTTGGGCTTGTTTCAGAATCCAATGCTTCTGGCATGAAGTTTCTTGCAGGTTCACCTCGCATTGCTTCTGGGATTGGCAACCTTGCCATCTTTCGCTTTGGGACCTCTATCTCCTCGGCTTGAACCTTCTGATGTGCCTCCTTTGGACCTGAGGATGAACTCATGGCTTCTCTTGGCGGCTCTGGTGCTGGAGTCTTGGGCACTGAACGCGCCGGTGTCGCAGGCATAGGCATAACCACTGGTGTTCGTAGTGCCGGTGTCTTGCTTGCTGGTGTTGGAGCTGCAGGCGTTCTGGCCGGTGTCTTTGGATAGCCTTCTGGAGCAGGACCTGGTGTGATAGGACCATGTCCGTACATTCTCATGGCCACCTCCTCTCCAACCATCTTTGCTTCCTTCTCCACTTGCTCTTCACCTGTGGCTTCTTCAGCTGCCTCAGCCAAGCGTTGTCTTGCCGCGAACTTGGTCTTCATGAGAATGCCTTGGACCGAGTATTGCCACGGGAGTCCACGGCAATGGATCAGCATCTGGCCATCAAACTGATCTGGAAGTCTTCTGATGGAACGGGCCTCTACTGCTCCAGACCTTGTCAGGCATATGTGGCTATCGCTCCATGAACTCTTGCCAACCCAGACACCTCGTCGATAAACAGGTTCCCCTTTGCGCTTGAAGGAGGTGACATCCTTGAAGAGCACGGTCTCACCCCATAGTGCCACCCTGCCAACATATTGACGATCTGTGAGCATCTCACAGGACGTGGCTCCATTGATCACTCGATATCGAAGCATCAACCAGGCTGCATGCCTGAAGCTCCATGGATAACAATGCATGTCTCCAGTGATCTTCACGCCACTCTTCTCCTCTGCATATTGCCTCAACGTGTTGGCTAGCTTGCGGACAGACTGGACTGCTCTCTCAGCCTGACTGTTTGATGCATGCTGATCTCTTGAAGTCGTCCTCACCTCTGCGGTGAGACCAAGAGATGCACGGGCGTGTTGAATTGCTCTGAGCACCTGCCGAGTGGCTCTCTCTCCATCCGACTGGAAGATGATGGGTTGAGTATTGCAAACCTGCATACTGAATCTTGTCAGCTCCTCCGTCACCTGCTTCAAAGATGCACTTCCTTTTGCCTGTACGGGAATGCACAACGTGGCTTTGGACTCTGATTCAGCCACGTACAAGGCAGTGCCCCATTGCTTCTCTTCTGGCGCATCGGCCGTGTAAGTGAACCCACAGTCAAAACTAATCACCGGTCGGCCTCTGTCTTTCCTGTCACTTTGATCTTCCTTCATTCGTGGGTCCTCTTTCGATCTTGTTGCCACGCATTGCTGACACCACGGCTGAAATGGGAGATGTGTCAACTGGCGCAATTCTTGTTCATGTCGAGAGGGCAACTTTGGTGTCTTCAGAGGGATGGCTTCTCTTCTGCTTTCAGCGAACAGTCTTTGTGCAACTTCATATGCCATCTTCTCCTCCTGTTGATGCTTAAATCGCTGCAACCTCCTCAGGACTTTAGTCTTGGACCCTGATGTGGCCAATCCGAGCTGCTTGCAGATCTCCTGAAGATCTTTCAACTTTGTCTCCTTGTCAAACCATGTTTCATCGATCTGCACTCTCAGCTCGTCAGGATCCACGAACTCCACATCTTCCAGGATCTCTGCCCGTCCTCCACTGCCTGCTGCCAGCATAGGAAATTCTCCTCCTTCTTCATCCCTTTCATCATCGGGCCAGGATGATGGCTCTCCACTCAATAGTGGATACTGGCTCACTGGGACCTCTGAGTTCAACACGAAGTAGTCCCGAATCAGTCCTGGGGCCACAAACGTCAAAGCTGACCTTGGACCTGCCGGTAGGGCTCGGAAAGGCAATGGTGTGTCCCTATATGCCGCTAGGCTTTCGATCTGCTCCCAAGCACCTGAATTGTCCTTCTTCTTCACGAGTGTCATGCGTCCACACCATTCAGGACCAAAGGACATGCTTGGGTCAAGGAAGTGGGTGGCTTGTGGACTCGAGTGCACCACTATCCCATTTGGCAAAGCATGCCATCCCGGCACCTTCTCCAATAGGCCTACCTCTCTTGAAATGAAGCCCTGCAATGAATGCCCTTCTCCTCGAACAGGGAACACGTGTTGTCCGGCCTCCGTCAGTTCCTCCATTGGGCTATCTGTCAACTCCATTGGCTCGCTCTTGACTTCAATCTTCTTCAGTCGCCACTTCTCCCATCGAGCCATCTTCTCCTGCACTCTTCCATCCTCACTGCTGCTTCCTTCAACCATGATCTCGCCTCCTGACTCTTCAGTGGTGTAGCCAGGTGAACGTTGTGGGATGTCTTCATTCTCCTTTAGTCTTGACTTCTTCATGGGGTTCTCTTCCACTTGAACATCATCATCCGTCACCACCTGCTCGGAGAGCTCCTTCATCACTGCCAAGGTCTCGTCTTCCTCCTTGGCTACTCTCTCCAACTCTATCTGCTCCTCAGCACTTCTCTTCACTCCTCGATCTGCTTCCGCCTCCTCGGGGATCTTCTTCTCCTCCTTTCTTTCTTCACCTTCGTTCATGGCTTGGGCTCTGTCGTTTGCTGCCATGGCCTCAATCTCCTTCTTCTGCTCTTCGTCCACATCTTCTTCAGCTCGAATTGCACAGACCTTCACATCCATGACCAGAGAGTTCCTTTCGAGCCTGGCCGGGATCTGCATCTTCTTCTCAGGGTGCTCCAAACATAGACCTTGGTGATCACGCGACAGCACCCATCCTTGCCTCAGGAGTCGACCAAAGCTTAGCAATGGATGTGTCACTCCGACTCCCAATGCAAACTGCTCCACGAATTCCACCATTTCTCCACTTCGAGTGTGGGCCTGAAGTCTCAACCTGCGGTTCCCAGCACTTTTGATGGCCTCTCCTTGTGCATCGACCATCTGAACTGACCGTTGCTGTCCTGGTTGACCCATCTGGTAGTACTCCTCAGGTGCAACAGGAACATCTGCTCCAGAGTCGAGGGTCATAATGACTGTAGGCGCCACACTTTTCACCATGCACACTCTGAACATGTCCAACTCCGTGTCCTCACATTGGGCTCGTGCATCGTGGCTCCCTGTCTCCTCCAACGATGAAGTACTTGGCGGCTCATCCTCATCTCCACTGTGGCAGTCGTAGAAGACCTCTTCCTCCTCAAGTGCATTGTTCTGCACTTCCATCACCATGTTGATGGCCCATGCCATCTCCTCATCTTCTGACTGGACCGGCTCATCAGGCGAGTCGTCCTGGGTCAAATCGAAGATCTCCATAGTCGCCAAACCTGTAGGCGTGACTAGCCTCACCCTCCTAACTCCAGCTCGATAAGTGGAGTGGGACGACGGGCCAGTTGACGCTCCACCACTTTGGCCTTGATCTTTTCCTGATTGGCTGACCTGTCCATTCTTGTTGACCTCTGCAGCTTCCTGGTCTTCTACCTTGCTCACTCTCTTGGGGGCCCAACATTCACGAGCAAAATGCCCTGGTTTGCCGCAGTTGTGGCAATTCCCAACTCCAGTCTTGCCTTTCTTTCCATCCTGCTTTCCTGACCCCTTTCCTCCTTTGCCGCCTTTCTTGCCTCCATCCTTGGACCATGAGCCTTTCCTTTTGAATTCTTTCCCTTCTCCTTGCCCTTCTTTCCTTTCTTTCCCCCCTTCTTGCCTCCTTTTGACCAGACAGCATCAACCTCCATTGGTCCACCACGGTCCTCCTGGTCCATGAGGGGCTTTACGTTCATCTGCATCGTGCCATCGCTCATCCATCGTTGGCTCACTGCTCATACATCTCGATGCGTTGCCTCAGGTCTTCAAAAGTCGTGTCATCCTGCAACGTCATCTGCACGTGAAGCCTGAGTGTGGCGGGTGAGTGTGCGGGCAAGGCAGCTATCACCGAGGCAATCTTCAAGTCGTCCGGGTAGGTCACATTGGCGCTCCTCTCATACTCTCTAACCATCAGGTCATACTGCGGGAGTTGCTCTGTCACTGTTCTGCCTCCATCGAACTGGACCTTGTTCAAGGACTGGATGAGGGCTAGTGACCGCTGCCGTGTTTGAGGCTGCAAGTCCTTGGTGAGCACCCGCCAGGCCTCCAAGCCGTTCTGTCCGGCTACACCTCGCACCAAACGCAAAGGTCGTTGCTTCATGAGGCCTGTCAGCAATGAGTACAACCTCTCAGATTGGGGTCTCACCGAAGGGAGTCCGTCATTGGTCACTGACTCTTCCTTTTCAGCGTTCTTCATGTGAGCCAGCATGGTTGGGTCGACTGCCCCAACAAATGTTTCAAACTGAAACCGCCAATCCATCCACTTGTTCAACTCTTCACCTCTATTCTCGGGGGAAAAAGTCATAGGGGGCTTCAAGTGCTTGATGAACCCAGAATTCCGCTGCACCTCGATCAGTCCGTGCAACGCTTGCACCAACCCCTGCACCCCAGTCACGGCACCCATGGAGGATGCCGGCTCAGTCGCTGGACCACCAGCGCCATCATCCAGACCAGCCATGAGCGCGACCCGGATACTAGTCTGTCCGGGCTTTCGACATCCCCAAAGGTTATCTGGAGATGTGGGGCCTACCCACAGAGCTCCGCTACCATGAAAAGTAAAGCGCGCCGTTTTGGACACCTCGGTTTGGGCCTGTGTTCACAGCGTGATGCTAAGTGCATTCCAGTGTGCTATGTGTCTCTAGGAATTTGCTGCTCATCTAACACTTTGCCAATGACTAGCAAAGGACCACTTTGCAACTCACAGCAGTGTTGCCTGCGGGCGAGACCACTGCGCAAGGCCTTTCAAGTGTGCCTGCCACAGAACCACTGACTCTGGACCACTTCCAAGATGCCAACATCGTTCCAGTTTTAACACAAGGAAACCGTCCAAATCCAATGATGTAGTTCATTGTATTTCCAATTAACTTCTATTTTAAAGGTCTGCAAATCCATTGACGGAGCGCGTAATTGAACAGCCTCACAGGCACGAAGCAAAGAGCGGCACCGCAGTCGAAGACACATCTGAACGCGCTTCATTTGTGCCTGCAACGTCATGGCTGGGTATAAACTGGTCGTTTGCAGCAGCATGTTTGGAAGTGGAGGCCGGTGCATCCCCACGCAGATCCCCAGAGTGCTGCTCAGCCGTCCAGAAACAGCAATTTATCTGATGTATCCACCGTCCAGAAACAGCATGCTGTGTGTTCCGACCTCCAAGCCTTCCGTGTTCCAATGTGCCAGGAGCTTTCCCAAACAAACGATGGACATTGAGCAACCCATCTGGCAGCTGATGTAACAGACCTGCTCAAAGGCCTGCACTCGTCGTCACACGTAACTTGAATCATCAACATGACATGTCTGACATGTGGTTGAAAGAATTGTCGTTGAAAGGCACTGAACATCAACGAACATGTCACAACTGTCACAGTGGCTTGGCAACACTCACCCTCGGCCTTGATGAAATGCTTGGGGCCGGTGACCCAACCCAAGCGAAACCCAGGCGACAGCATCTTGGAGACGGTGTCCAAGCGAAACACCAGCCCTGCAGCATGTTACACCAGGTGCAAGGACGCTACTAGGGGCTCCTGGCATCGCTACTAGGAGCAAGGACGCTACTAGGGGCTCCTGGCCTTACCACTAGGAACAAGAAGCTACTAGGAACATGATTATTAATTACATGACACCTGTCTCTACAAAATGCTCCTTGGAGCAAAGACCTTGCGCTCCATTTGCACCAGAAACAAGAGAATGCCTTTCCATGTGGCTCCAGCTCCGTTCTGTATGCAGTCTTCAAAAGGGATCATCACGCGCATGAAATTTGCGGAAATCCATAGAAAGCTTGCCATCCCCACCTTTCTGGTCAATGGAGATAAAGCTTGGACCAAGCTCCAGTCCAGCCACTGCAGAGACCTCCTCATCTGCCTTTTCGTCGTGCGAGTTGTGCTGCAAATAGTAGTACCTTAAATCACAGTAGGGCGATGCATCAGCGTTTACTGTAAACAAACAAGAGCTGAAACACGTGGCCTGGGTTGCTACTGATTCAAAACCTGCGAGCGCTCAACTCACATTGAACACCTCATCCCTGGCAAAGTGCTCGACTTCTTCTGTCAAACCGAGTGAGCCCCTCCCCTCCATAAATCATGCTCTTTGGTCAAAGACCTCAACTAACTACATGGAAGAAATCATGCACCGGCACCCCAAACATCATACTGTATGATACTGTATGTACATAATGCCGCGGCTGCCCATATCTCCGGAAGTGGCGCGAGACGTCCTCCGCTGTCAGTGAAACCTTTAGCTTTGAGCCCAAACAGCCGCCGAGCAACGCATCGTCTTCGACGATGATCACATCATGAGCTGCGCCTGGGTGCGAGTGGAGTCCAGGACGGGGCAGCTGATCAGGCTTGCAGAGAGAGAGAGAGAGAGACAAAAAAAACAAGATGGAGCCCACGAACCCGAATGCAAACACGTTCAAAAAGCTACATATGTCCAAATGACACTCTTGTAGGACACTCTTGTGGGACACTCTTGTGGGGCACTCTAGTAGGAAACTCTTGTGGGACACTCTTGTAGGGCACTCTTGTGGGATACTCCTGTAGGACACTCTTGTGGGACACTCTTGTGGGGCACTCTTGTGGGACACTGTTGTAGGAAGCTCTTGTGGGACACTCTTGTAGGACACTCTTGTGGGACACTGTTGCGGGACACTCTTGTGGGACCTCCCGATTCCCTGCGCCTGCCACGAATCTTTCCGCGTCCACACGTCTAACGCGCACAAAGTACTGCGCCTGCCACGAAATGTCACCTCCGTCACACATCGCAACCTCACGATTCCCTGCGCCTGCCACGAAAATCCCACTTCCACACCTCAAAACCCGCACAAAGTCCTGCCCCTGCCACGAAAAGTAACAATGTCATCTCATGTGAGCTTCAACAAAATTTGCACCACACCACACGTTTGGAATGATTTCGACCCGTTCTGAGCACACTCCCATCCACCAAAATCGGCATTTCAGCTGAGACTTGTCACGAAAACAGAGCTTCGATGCCACACCCTGAAACGCAAATCCCAATGGCACGGCCACATCCAACACCCCAAAAACACGACTCTCCAAACGCTAATCCCAATGGAACTGCGTTGCAAACTGCGGATCTCACAAAACGCTGCGCCTGTGCAGCGAAGTGCATCACGCTTCTTGCGCGACAAGTCATTTTCACGCAAATCACAATGGACTAGCGTCGCAAACTGACACGTGACACATCCATGAATAGTCACTTGCAAAAGCTTCCCCCAATGGCAGCGCCTTAGCGCTCTACCGCGGACGGTTGCGAACGGTTGCGAACGGTTGCGAACGGTTGCGGACGGTTGCGGACGGTTGCGAACATAGAAACAACGGGTCGCGAACAAGGCTCTACCCCCAGACCCCCAAGAGTTAAACGAGAACCCTTCGCTATGCATTCGGGAAAAGAATGTGTACAATTACGTATGTATATGTGCTACGAAAGTCATCACCCGTGACACACAAAAACATCTGACACTCTGATTCAGAAGCTTTCGTTCGCGGCTCTTTGCAGAAGAAAGGAACTACCCAAGAAAGGAGTCTTCCGGCGTCTCCATCTCCACAATGTTTGTTTGATATCAATTCACTTGGCAAAGCAGCTGAACCTTGCACGTTTGTTCCACTAAGGCAGGTGCACAACTCATAGATGGCTTTGTAGCGTTCGCACGACATCCGTGTACCCAAAGGATTCTGCCCAACCTCACTGAGCTGTGTGGGTTGACGGGTTGACGGAGGTCCTGGAAGATGTTTTCAAGTGCAATCTCTGATGTTCCGAACTGTTCCATGTCAGCCTGGCGAAGATGAGTGTCGCCAGCCTCTGAACTGGCTGGGTAGGCTGAATCTATGTAAAAATGATAGAGACAAAAGGACAAAAGGATATGAACGCTACGGATGACCCCGGCAATTGTCTAGGGCGACTGTGGGTGAACACTTCGCAAAGGCATTAATTGTTCATAGCATCCGGATCTTTACCACACCTTCATGCCAAGCAGCTGGAACAGTGTACCTCAGTCAATGTGATTTGTTGGTCATCCACCAGCAGCAGCTAGGTGCTTATACTCTATATATATACACCTCAACGATAGTCTGGAAAATGGAGTTGACCTCTCAAATTTGAGCCCTGCCCCACATGACGTCCTCCTGGTGCATTGGCCCAACTCTGGAAATAGCCGGCATAGCATATGCGAAACAAACGATCTATCTATAAAGCTATCGATCGATCTGTCTGTTTGTCTGTCTGTTTGTCTGTCCGTCCGTCCGTCCATCTGTATGATATCATACATGTATATGTATATATATATATATGTGTACAGTAGACTGGCTGTCATGCCAGGTTGCAACACCTTGGCACCTGCAATGACTTTGGCAAGTTCTGATGGCAATATCCCATCATCATCGCATTTCACAGGCACCATATGCCTTACAAAAATAAGCAAGGGCAAGCAATCTGGGGGGCATCCAATTGATGCCAACAAATGAATCCTGTGCTCCTTCCAAATACTCACAGGTTTGGTTTTCCCCAATTCTCAATCACAGGCTGACTGAAGGAAGCCCATGAATGTGGAACATACCTGCCTCCCCGCGCATTTGTGGAAGTATACAGAGGCCCCTGAATCATATTTGTCTTGGGAGCCCCTGAATCTTTTTCTTCCTACCTTCCAGCAGACTTGACTAGATCTACCACCAAGTTTCTCCGCTTTTCAAGAATTTGTGCTGCCATGCAAATTGTGGAAACATTGTAGTGGATTTCATTGCTATCTGAGGCATGCACAATCCAGCGGCCATACAAGCATCGACCATTGCGAGAAAGGTGAACCTATCAGTGGCAGCTCAAGAGCAAAGCCGGCAAGAGAATTGAAATGCCCGTTTCAGCTGTATATACCTATGTATGTATATATATATGGCATTTGAACTTGTAGCACCTTTCAATATACTCTCTTGCGATCACACCCATGCCTACCCTGCTTTGCTCCGACTGTCTTAACATAGTTTTTTTCACCCATCTTGTCGCAGCTGTAGTATCTAAGTATCCATGCGAAAAAATGTGGGATCTTGCCTCTTGGTAAAGTGCTTCTATTCTGGCTAGATGCCAGCAAGCATCATTACATACGCCGTACTCATCCGATTCTGGAGGTCAGGTGATGCGAAAAGAACTGCAGAAATGCCACCATTGATTCAATTGCAATGAACTAGAGCACTGTTGTGCCAAGGAGCTCTTCCATTAAAATGGTATCCTCAGCAAGGTTGGAAGAAAACACCCATGATTCACAATGTGACAAGTGATAAAGGATGATAAAGGACAATGATGGTTAATATATGCATGAGTACGTAATCCAGGCCTTTGGACGATTCATTAAATTTCAACTGCATCAACCTCAATCCTCCCCTCAAACACATTTCCGTTGTTTGTATTCATCCTCTGCTGCTGCATCAAGAGTCACCAGGATTCAGAAACATAGCCACCGTGTGGTCCAAAGCAGACATGCTGCCTGCACTCACAGCGATGTCCCAGTCGGATGCAGGCTTCAGCACCTGAAAAATGGAACTACACAAGAAGGCGCAACTGTGCTGGGGAAAATGTTTCAACAACATAGCCGCAATGAATGCATTAACAGGTGGTTTCACTGTGCCCCGCCAAGTGAAGCCTTCGGCAAAAGCTCTGCTACAAGCACGTTTGATTGGTGCAAGAAACCCTCTCCGTATGAGCGCGCAAGATCTTCATCCTTGGTTCGGAGCACAGGCGTGACTCGAGGCTGCCAACTAATTAAATGTGTTCCTTCATGTTCCTTCCAAAGAGCATAATCAGAAAGGCCGCTTCCGGCCAAGTGACAGCTCTGGGCGAGCGAAAAGGGGATAACGTTGCGCAGAGTGAGTGGCAGCTTGGTCAACTTCCACAGTCCTTGCCAACAAACAAAGGGACAAAACGTGTCCAGCACTTGCATCCAGCACTGGGCAGCAGCTTTGCCATGTGTAATGCATATTGCTACACATACTTTTGGACAAGCTTAAAGTCACAAATGACGTTCTTCCATGGTCCTGGGAACTGTTATCAAGTCCCATCTGCTGAGAGTTACTAAAGCTTCAACTCCGCATTTCTGCTCAAGTCTCTGTAGACCTGATGGCTCTTTCACTGAGAAACTGATAGAGTGCAGTGGCCAACAGTCTTCAGGAGGTACCTGCCGTGATGCGGGCACTCTTCGCCCACACAGATGCGTAGAGCCAAAGGGCCAAATGCAGTATTTGTGCTGCAATAAACATGTTGTGGAATGCATTTGGCAACTAGAATTCCACGCCAGCATGCTCCACAATCAGTTTTGTGCAGATTTCGGCACAATTGTTTGTTCGCGACGCACAACTCCCGACACACCACTTCTGCCATCGCTGACCCCCTGGCATAGTATGATATTCTCGGGGTTCGCCATCATATCCACGATGTGATTGAATGGATTTTCAGGCCTTGGTTCTGCGGACATGGCAACAAATCATTAGATGTCCCAAAAGCTGTACCCTTTCACATGCCAATCATCCACTTGTCCAAACCAGGGAGCTGTCTCTTGACCCTCGAGGCAAATACTCCTTCGCGTCACAACGGCAAATAAGTTTTCTGGATGTCTGACACGTCCCACCGCGGAGGCCCCAAGAGCGAAGCACACAGGTTTTGAGAAGAGGTTGAGAATGCGAAGAAACTTGGGAACCTTCAAGAAACTCAAGCAGAGGTGCCGGAGACTTGGAGACCTTGAAGACTAGGTGACTAGGCGGCCTCCCACAACAAAAAAAACGACTAATGGAAGAACGACACCAGAATACATGTGAGGTGAAGATAAACACATAAAATCTAAACATGTATATATATATATACATCAACAACACAGTATGTTCATGTATGAGTTTGCTGTGTTGGTGCAGGAGTTCTTTCATCAATGATCAACAGTAGTAAACCCTAGGAAAAAAAAAAGGAAATCGCTTCGTGGTTCCACAAGATTCCGTCCTTTTTGACCACCAATGTGACAATTGGTGTTGCCGATGGCTCCTGCAGGATCTGCCAATTGCAAGAGATCTTGGGCCACCTCGCGGCAAATCAGTTTCGCCTCGCTGTCTTGGGCAGGAGAACAATTAACAATTCCAGCTTCAGCACTGTTGAAACACTACCGTCTCTACAGTCACACAAACTGCTTTCGAAAGAAGATGCCGAATGCAATGTATGCGTCACATGAGCTGCTGAGCCTGGCTCTGCCAACCTATTGGCCGTTGAGGTTCTTTGGAAGAACACAACTTCATATTGAAATGAGAAGGTTCCCCTCTGTCAATTTACAGTATCAAATCACGCACACGTCTGCCACATCCCTGTCTGCCCACCCAAAAAACGTGACCGCCCAGTAGGGCCTGACGGCCAATATCAGGCAACAAGTGGTAAGGCAAGGAAGAGATGAAGAACAAATCTTGGCTACTACTAGCAAGAAGCTTCTAGATTGGAGGCCATCGCTAGTAGTTTGGGGGCCATTACTACTAGTAGCTAGAAGCCATTAGGAACCAAGATGAAGAACAAGTCGCGGCTACTACTAGCAAGAAGCTTCTAGGTTGGAGGCCATTACTACTAGTAGCTAGAAGCTATTAGGAACGAAGATGAAGAACAGATCTTGGCTACTACTAGCAAGAAGCTTCTAGGTTGGAGGCCATCGCTAGTAGTACCAGCAAGAAGCTTCTAGGTTGGAGGCCATCCCTAGTAGGTTGGAGGCCATTACTATTAGTAGCTAGAAGCTAATAGGAACGAAGATGAAGAACAAGTCTTGGCTACTACTAGCAAGAAGTTTCTAGGTTGGAGGCCATCGCTAGTAGGTTGGAGGCCATTACTACTAGTAGCTAGAAGCTATTGGGAACGAAGATGAAGAACAAATCTTGACTACTACTAGCAAGAAGCTTCTAGGTTGGAGGCCATCGCTAGTATATAGTACCAGCAAGAAGCTTCTAGGTTGGAGGCCATCTAGTAATACTAGCAAGGAGCTAGGTTGGAGGCCAATATACTAGCCATGGCCTCCAACCTAGAAGCTTCTTGCTAGTATGAGACGTCTCGCCAAATCCGCTAGGCCTGGACCACACCCTGTGAGGTGGCCTCGAGCAACCTGGCGGACAGCGACCGAGCTTGGACTCCCGATGTCTAACTCTGGCCATGTTGAAGCCTAAGTCGGAAGCTTGATATCAAGGTTATGTGGTCTAAACTCTGAATCAGTTCCTCCTTCGAGCCGCTGTCTGTACCCTATAAAAACATCACTCCCAGCCCACGCGTGTGCTTCATTGTGCGCTTCATTGTGCCCCACCAAACACACACTTATGATTATGCGTACTGACTTGACAGTGGTGCCACACGCCGGCCTAAGAAACCAAAACCTAAAAAACCAGGTAAAGGGGGGCTGCGCGCCTTTAGTTAAAGGCCACGAAACGACGAGCCGACGGGATGACGACGTTCCGTGCATGACTGCCGATGCATTAGCACTTTACAAAAAGAAAAGGAAGAAAGGTGGCCACCAGCTGCGTCTTACAATGCGCCCAGGTGCACCAAGCAGGTACGTTTTCACGACAGCTTGGATGGGTCTTCGTTGGCGCATGCCATCCAAGTGTCCATGGGCCCCCTGCTCTACAGAAAGAAAACACGAACAGTACAGTCCACACACACACACGCCTCCCCAAAGGGAGGCATATTTTGCTCTAAGCTGAGTCCAAAGGTGACACACTTATAGAAATGCATACTGACTCGAATGCCACATGCCACACGCCCACCTAGGTTTGAACGCCTAAGGTGAACCTTCAAAGCCCACGAGCTCGAACTGCGGAAACGCGACAAGGTGACGACGTTCCGCGCATGACTGCCGAGGCATTAACGCTTTACAAGAGAAAAGGAAGGAAAGTGGCCACCAGCTGCGTCTTATAACGCGCCCAGGTGCACCAAGCAGGTACGTTTTCATGACAGCTTGGATGGGTCACACGCCTCCCCAACAGGAGGCATCTCTGTCCTGGAGCGTCCTTGCACCTAGTAGTAAGGCCAGGAGCCCCTAGTAGCGTCAAAGTAGCGTCCTTACACCTAGTAGTAAGGGGAAGAAGGTGTTCCCAGCTACGACACAAGCGTCCAAGGACACACCCAAAGAAGAGAGGAGGAGGGTTCCCAGCTATGACGAAAGCATCAGGGACACCCAAACAAGAAGGAGGGAAAGGAAAGGAAGGAGAAAAGAGAGAGAGGGAAAAGAGAAGGAAGAGGACAGGTGTTCCCAGCAACGCACAAGCGTCCAGGGACACACCAGTGAGAGAGGGGTGAACCTGAGTATTACATTCAGGAACACGCAAGATGACAAAAAGGGGGAGAGAGGAGGGGAGGGGAGGAGGAAGGGGGCTAAGGTGTAAGTCTGGGCATGGAGTGATTGCCTTATGCAATGTAGCCCTGCAATGTCCCAGAGTGAGGGCGGGGGATACTGCGGGGCACTGGAAGAAATGAATGTGGCAAAGCTTGCTGGATTCCCCAAGGCCTTGCGCTACTCAATGCGACGAAGGTGTTGCAAAGCAAACAACCAAGAAATGGCCCAGGGTGAGAGTGGCAACACTTTTCGAACCCCTGCCACTACGTCTGTCTTTCATTATGCCTGCCTGGTGGCCAAAGTCTTCAGGGACTTCTCTAGCGCTGAGATATCCTGGCTGTGAGATTCAGTCCAAAGCTTTGTCAAAACACAGTGGCAAATCCTGAACAGGTGACTCAAGGTATATAGGCTGTGCTGGTTTACCAGTGTTGCTCGGGCGACGGGGTTCCCGCGAGGCACTTCGTCAGCAAAAACGGTAAAAATCGATTATGTTTACCGTTTTGCCCGGGTTTCAGGCCATTTTTTAACCAAAGGCGCGGTGAAAACGGAAAAATCGAACATATTAGTTGTTTTGCCGTTCTTCCGGACAAAACTAATCTTCAATTTTATCTAATGCAAATTTCCGCGGTCAAAAGGGTAGACATCGAGAAAAAGAATGGCCGGTTTACCTGGGTGTCACAGCTCGAAATGTTTATCGCGTGCGTTGTAAAAAGAGCATTGTTTTCTATCGCACGTTAAGTAAAAATTCAAAATGCACATTTTGGTTTTGTTATCGAAACCCGGAATCAAAATTGTAAAAATATTGTTTGTTGGGGGGGCTGGTTTGCAGTTTTCGAAAAGCGTGGCTCACTGGAATCGATCTGTTTGACTGACATCGCGATCACAAAACTGTAAGAATGCAAGATTATGCTTTGCGTCGCAATGTCCAAGTCCCTTAGCTATGGATTTTACTGAAAGGCACGGGGAAAAACAGCGTGTTCAACAAAAATTTGACTTATCTGCGCGGCTATTAGAACAGTACAAATCGAAAATGGTTTTTCTCTACCGCAGTGCCTGAGTCCCTCAGTTGCGAATGTGACCGAAAGCCTTGGTAAAATGCGGTAAAAACAAGTATTTTTTACCGTTGTGCACAGGCACCACAGTCCACGGGCACGGCACCCAGGCGCAGTCACGTCCACATGCACACGGAAACACGATGCTGATGATGATTAAATTTATGAGGGTGATGGTGGTCCTGATGGCGGCGATGATGTTGACAATGATGTTCATGCTGCGGTGATGATGTCGGTGATGATACGATACACAAGATCTTGGTGATGGTGGTATTATATGATGCTGCAGTAATGGTTGCGATGTTGTTGATGATGATGTTTGTGACAACGTTGGTGGTGATGAAAATGATGATGATGATGATGATGATGATGATGATGACGATGACGATGACGATGACGATGACGATGACGATGATGATGATGATGATTATTATTATTATGATGATGATGATGACGCTAATGATGATGATGATGATGAGGGTGGTTCAATCAACGAAACCACAATGGATAATGAAGATATTGATGGCGATGACCAGTTCATGGGCACAGGGGCACACGAGACCAGCACGGGGGGGGATGATGTTGTGGTGCTGAGGATGAAGGCCACGATGCTACAAATATATATATATATATATTTGTCATGAAGATGGTTGCGAAATGATGGACATGATGACGGTGATGATGATGATGATGATGATGATGATGATGATGGTCACGTTAAAATCACCATCGTCAGAACTATACTACCCCCAGTTGTGCCAATTATGAGATGGGCTGTTTGTTGCACAAGTCCTGACACATGTGTCTGACAAAAGTTGACTGAAAACATTCAAGAAACACATGAGTTATACTGGTCTATGTTTAATTTTTAAAGGTGAGCTCCACTTCATGGATCGTTACGCTTGTCTGGCTGTCTTTGTTTCTTCTGGTTTCTTCTCTACCTTGGCCTTCTTCTCACCAGTGTCCCCCTTTGGAATACACTGAAAACACAAATTCAAAGAGATAAGCACAGCTACCCTCGGCTGTTCTTGACTTTGATGGTAGATGCATGATGAGATGGGAGTTGTGGACACACTTGGAAATACATGAGATGGAACTTCGAAATTTGAAGTCATTTCGCAAGTCCCAACTCACTAGTGCAGAGTTTATCCTCGTTCTGGTTGTCATCACCCTCATCATCGCTGTAGTAGGCTATCAACAACGACAACCACAACCGCAACCACTGCGACCACGGCGACGGCGACGGCGACGACAACGACAACATCACCTGCAGCATACCCCTCATCTCCTCACCATCATCATCACCCCCATCATGCTTCCTATGATCCCCGTCGTCAACACCATCATCTTTGGCACCATCATCACCGACACCACCACGGTCAACATCATCACCACCACCACCAGCAGCAGCAGCATCATCATGGTGATGAGGAGGACGAGGATGAGGATGAGGATAATCGCAACACGGTGATGCCGTGACGTGGATCATTTTGATGGTAATGACGTGATGCGGTCAAGGTGACTGTCGAACACATGCTGAAAGGAAATGCCCAAACTTCCGCGCAAATGCATCTAAACGGGCCAAACGGGGTATCACCCTACAATGGGGAACATCAAATTACAGCCGTTTGCCGGCTGCACATGCGCTACGGCTATCCACTTCGACATTTCGATAGTCGCAGTGCATGTCCTGTAGAAAGACTCTGAACATGGCCACGGGGTGATGCACAAATGCAGCCAAACGGTATTTCCCAGGCCCTGGCAAAAACGGTAAGGCCAAATTATTGAGTAAGGTCCCTTCAGAAGACATGCCCGAGTGCCCATGTGTGCCCATGTGCCCGGGACACATGGAGGTTGTGTGCCCCGGTCCGTCAGCCAAATTTGCTTTACCAAAGTTAAAATAGGCGCTGTAAAAGCTGTAAAAGTAAAAAATACCGTTTTCTTTGCAGACGCGCAGCAGGTACCCCTTAGCAACACAAAGCGCATGCACGCGCGCGAACCGGCTTGGAAGGTGACATGCCCCTTTCCATGTTGATCTTCGACATTTGCTCTCACAACTTGGAAGCAGCTACCCACAGGTCCACCGGGCACGCTGTGGGAAGCACATCTGCCAGAACTGGGACAATGCCCAGGAGCCCCCTTGCCTCCGACATGGCAAGCTTTGGGATTCGCAGCTTCGCTCACACCATGGCCGCGGACGGAAGTTGATGCGGTCGGTGCGTTTGGGGTACAAGAGAGGGTTTGGAGTTCCCAGTGAGGTGAACTGACAATCCAAAGCCACAGAATCCTGCAAGTCCCTATATATTCTGTTTGAACCAAAGCCAGCTCTGTGCTTGTGGTTCCACGTGGTCCTATGTCTTAGAGCACAAACCTGGAGCACAAACCCTGAGAAAGACATGATTCTGGGAACAGAATGATCATCGTACAAGTTCTGGTGCGTTTTTGAAGGACTCTGCTTGCGGCAGCTTCTCAAGCCTAGCCTCTGAACCGCTGAGCTCCCTGAGTTCCTCACATTCGATAGTGTACCTCACAGCTGGCGGACCAAGAGCATCAATCAAGATTCCTTCGAATTCGATTCGCCTTCATCACTTCCCGCCTGGCCAGGCCGAATACGCCCAATGCAGGACGCCCTCTTGCTTCAGCTGTGAGTCAGCGGCTGCGGTTCATCCGGCGGCTTCGTCAGCGTTGACCGGAATCGCTTTTGTCGGCTTTGTTTGCCAACGATTCAAGGAAAACATGTCAGGGTCAACTGTGCAAATCGTCAATTTTGCTGAACATGCGATCTAGGCTCAATGATCTGAATGGTCGTGCAAAAGGAGGCTTGAGGGCCCCCTCTGAAGGCCACACGTTTATTCAACTGATGCGACGCACGGTGTGTTGCGCAAGGCTTTCCTCGCCACAAGCAGTAGCCTTGTGTCACTTTGCTTGTGCACAACACAAGAGCTTGGCCAAGAGCCAAATCAGAAAAGCGCCAGGGATGGCTGCAACATCTGTCTGCTAAAGTCCCTTTTTTAATTACAGTATCTGAAAGCTAAGTTTCCAAAAAAAATACATTTGCTCAAGTGACCCCAACGATGGCATGATACTCTGCCGATAACCGACGGCTATAGTGCTTCAACATCACCAAGAAAGTGTCTCATATAAGTGGCATTCTATCTCGCAGATACTCAGGCAATCTATCTGGTATAAACTCTAGCATTCTGTGCGGCGCATATTGTTGCATTCTAGTTGGCAAATATGTTGGCATTGGCAACCTATCTGGCATATATTCTGGCATTCTATCTGGCATATTTTCTGACAGTCTATCTGGCATATGTTCTGTCATTCTATCTGCTGATATTCTAGCATTCTACCTGGCATTCTATCTGGCATACATTCTGGCATTCTATCTGGTATATTTTTTCGCATTCTGCCGGGCAAATGCTCTGGCATTCCATCTGGCATAGTTCAGGTCCGGTGGTGCCCACTGCGATCTGGCACTCGTGGCGATGTCCGGTGGTGCCCACTGCGATCTGGTTCTTGAGGAGGACAGAGGACAGCTGATAGAATCAAATCTAACAACCCTCACCTGGCAGGTGGGAACTAGAAGCCAAATCAATCATGCGAAGTGTTCTTCTGCATCCCAAGCTTAGTAGCTACATAAGCTACTAGTGGGGTACGTACGTACTAGCTTCTCTTCTTACCGCTTCTCACGACCTACCTTCCTGGCTTTAAATAAACGAATGGAATCGAATGGAGACGTTGAGTGAAGCTGTCGGAGCGAACATTCACCACTGAAGTTGATAGAAGTACGACGCAAGTTGATAAATGCGATGGCCTCCACCCCAGAAGCGATGGCCTCCACCCCAGCGATGGCCTCCACCCTACAAGCGAAGACCTCCACCCTACAAGCGATGGCCTCCACCCTAGAAGCGATGGCTTCCAACCTACCTAGGATGGCCTCCACCCTAAAAGCGATGGCCTCCACCCTAGAAGCGATGACCTCCAACCTTAAAAGCGATGGCCTCCGCCCTAGAAGCGATAGCCTCCACCCTAGAAGCGATGGCCTCCACCCTAGAAGCGATGGCCTCCAACCTAGAAGCGATGGCCTGATGGTACCTAGAAGCGATGGCCTCCAACCTAGAAGCGATGGCCTCCACCCTAGAAGCAATGGCCTCCACCCTAGAAGCGATGGTTTCCACCCTACCTAGGAGCGATGGCCTTTACTCTAGAAGCGATGGCTTCCAACCTTCCTAGGATGGCCTCCACCCTAAAAGCGATGGCCTCCACCCTAGAAGC